TCGTGTACCACATTCAGTCACGAAGTCACATCAATACATGACCCATAGACATCCCTTAAGGTGTTTCACTTCCAAATTCAGAATTGTCGCTCGTTCAGACGGACACGCGCATCTGTATTCATTGTTGATTTGCACTGTCTCCGATCATCTCGTTAGAACGACAGAGACGCTCGTAGGGAAAAACGAAAATGCAAACCTGTCGTGTTGCCTATTCGAACGTGCGATGATTAACAATTTGGGTGTGGCACGTTCTTATTCTGTTTTGTTTTTAGGCGCGTGATCTCCATCTAACGCGCTTTTACGTCAACCTATAAGCATACGCATGCTATAAACACAACAATAGTTGTTGGTTAATGCAAATTTTAAGAGTACAATGCCGACTTGATTACATCGGCAATGCATCTAACAAATATAAACAAGCATTCATACATCACTACAATTATTTTACGTTGGCTCGCTCTTGGATGATCTGGTCCGATCGGGTTTGATTTAGGACAGCCTTTAGGGCGACTAGATCTAGTTGGTGTGGAAACCTTAACGGAAGTAAGGGATCGGAGTGGATCGCATTGGATAGACGTGACGTACACATATTTGGGGGTGAAAGGGGGTGTCAATAAATGTGTGGGCATCGGGAAAAGGGATGTGGGCGTCAATAAGGGGTTAGCGACAGGGATGACGCTTAGTAACAACAAATTTTACTGTAATTTCCCGTATATAAGACCATCGCGACTTTTTTGAAAAATGACACAGGTGAACCAACCCATGGACGATGTACCGTATTGTTCCGGCTGAAAAACCCGCCGGTAAGAAGGTCCCTCGGAACTCTTGAATGGGTAGGGGGACTCGCATTGTGGCAGGTTTTGTGAAGACCCCCCTCTTGCCCCTAAACATCAAAAGACCCCCCTTCTCTGTATACAGTAGTTATTATTGCTATTGTGCGTCAGCTTTTACTAGCACAAATTCGAATTTCGACACGCTTTTTGTGTTAGACTTGAATTCTGTTACAAATAGGACGTGCCACATGTGCGAAATCTGAGCGGATTTCCTACTAATATAAGACCCCCTCGCTCGTAATTGAGTCGTACGCTCTAAATAATATATTGATAATGAATAAAAAGTTCAACTCCGAGCCTTAAAAATTCGGTGCCACTATAGTGTTATCCAAGCAGATTCTAAAAGGTTGACGAGGTGGTACTTCTGTTTTTGGGCTGCGGCGAGAGGATCATTTTCATAAATTTCATTTCCTTCGCGACACACAGCCAAACCTCAACTTTCCACTGGTGGGAGTTCGAAAGTCACGATTTGCAGCTGCACTATTTTCAAGTTTGCAAGTTGCTCAGTATCAAAATTTAAAAACTTGACCCGCGCAGCTTGGAATTTGGAACCGGGCTTTAAGCACTTAAAGAGAGTCTCCAGGGTATTATAGACGGCACTATGCGGTACTACAAAACCCACATACATTTACGCTGAGCTCCATATACAAATCACCCATACAAAACTTAACGGTTTTTATACTTATCGGTCACCAACAGAAAAAGATTTCGGACCTGACACAATCTACTCGCCAGTTTTTGCGTCTGTCGCCTTCACTACAGCAAAAACTGAATTCTGTAACATAATATATAGCATGCCAATGCTTTAAGCAAGTGCAACAAACAGACTTCACATAGAAATGAGGAACTTTTATGTAAAAAGATGGGGCCACCCGTGTAGGATGCAAATAATTTTTGCGCCCCCAGTTAAAAGACCCACGTGATTTTTATATCGCTGGGTCTTATTTACGGAAACTGAGCATTGATATGATTGCGTGATTAATATCATGTCTTATACGATTGTAGCGTACTTATGGTGATATTCATACGAAGACCACACCCACCAAAACATACTTACTCTTTTACCCCCTCCTTTCTCACATATGTGCAATGAGCCGATATAATGCCTTCACCCAAAAGGCCCTTCCTTTTTTTGTGTCACCTTTTTATCTCCCCTCACGACCAATTGGGTAAACGTTTATCCCTCCAATTAATGACGTCCTGTGTAGTAAGCCCAAGTTTATAGTATCACTATCCTGATCAGCGACTTCAGAGACCCCAAAAGGTGTGATGAAAACAAGGCGTTGTCATCCTAACAAACCCACCTCGACAACGCTACCAACAACTGTGCGTCCCACTTTTGGAGAAACCAACGCAAGATATGTATACCGAAGCAACCTTGTGTCTGGGCGATTGAAGGGACGAATTGCCCAACCCGATAGTGTGCAAGTAGTAGTGCGTAATAGCTCGTCTAACATCGCTCCTACGTTGTGGCCGCATCTTCACATATAGCATCCTTATTGCCAATTCGAAAGCGTTGTCGACGTGAGATGTTACTGTAGAAACCAGTGCACGAGCTCTTGGGCCCAGGAGCAATGTAAGTCGAGTTCGGTTGGCATTATGACACAAATGACGGATGCAACTTTCAAACTTTCAACTGCCGCAGCCATGCGTGGTGAAGGTAAATGGAGAGGAAAAGGGAGGGGATGGGGACATGACTAGAGAGGTGGTGGTGCAGGGAAAAATGCAAAGTGGCAGGCCTTGCATCCCTATCGAAGGAAATCTGCAAGCATTCCTTCGTTGCCTTTTACCCCCAGCTATGCAATCTTGATATGTAGAGAAAGTATTAGATCCTCCTGAAGATTAACACGCTTTAAAATATGCATAGCAACGGACGTTGGACACGATGCTCATGAAGCCGCCTTCTTTCAACACGTCCACATACGATGGACAAAAGCAGCATTCATGGGCAATGGGTTACGGCTTACACGCCCACGACAAACACCCCTATGTTGTAATGCCAATTAGTTATCAAAGCATTATATGAAGGACTATCCAATATTTGGGAATTCAAGAATGATAACCATACTAATATACTCAATTTCCCTTATTTTTAACACAGTTATATTCACATAATAAGGTATATATCGTTGGTCAAGCTAGTGAGTAGTTATGGAATTAGTAGGGGTAGAGTCACGCATGACATTCGTAGATGATGGCAAGCAGCAACTTTGTCAATGCCAATCCGCTATTAGGGCGACGTCAGGTTGTACAGCTTCCCTGTGCTCAACTTCGTTTCGCAACGATAAAACACGGTTAACCTTTAGAAAAGCTTCCCACCGTGTTGAACCGTTTTGAGCCACGATACAAGAATTGAATATCCGCAAGAAATGTACAACCTGACGTCGCCCTAAGCCTGGATCATAAAGTGTGAGTTTCATGAGACTAAACGCCTCGTGGTACTACAATGATAACCCCTTGGCCTTAGGGTGTCCGACTCACGAAACGAAAAAGCACTTCGGAACGACCCTTTCACGAGGTGAAAATAAAGCGGCCTGGGTGTACACGTTCGTCACTGGTTGACCGGAGTGAGAAAGATGTGCGGGGACAATTGCATTTCAGGTTCCACTGTGCACACACGCATTTATGGCTAGCGTTATGTGTGTTTGGTTGTGATTTGTGGCCTGCCATCGCATGGGCCGTCCGTGGGAGGTGCGGTGTGCCGTGAACGACGCACAAAGCAACCATGAATTTATACGAGCGCATGCGATTGGTTGCCTTGTAAACTGGGGCTATGATTTGGATGTTCCACTTGCAGAGAATGTCCCAACTCTGTGATGTGCAACAGTAATGTACTGTAATAAGTATTGTTCAGGCTTAAAACTGCTGCCCCACGCTGACACGCATTTGACGTAATGAACCCATGCTATCCGTGCCAATGTTACCAAACAGTGGACATAATGTCCCGCTTCTGCACTGATGGAGAACAGCGAAGGTGAATTAACATTGTCGGGCAAAAATACATTTTGCAAATGCCACAGTAATATGGTAGGTGCGGTCCGTCTGCTTCCCAGGAGGCCGCCGCAGAGCAAATGCGAAATCGCACCCCACTCAAGGTCCCACGCGCAAACTGACAGATTCACTTTTCCCTCATCTACGTTGTCGTCGTCACGTCACCTCGCGAACTCCCACACCCAGCAAGCATTTCTTCCTCTCCATCCCACTTTCCCCCTCCTCACTCACAATGATCAAAGATACATACATACACACACAACAGTGCTACCTCATCCCTTCGCGTCCACTCCACTCTACGCTACTCCACTCCCCCACACCGCAGTCAGCTTCTGCATCATTAGGCGGCATCTTTCTCTCCCTCCCCCTGACCTTGCACAGCTCAACCGCTGACTTGCTTCAGCTCACAGATAATCCCTTTCCTTTCACCTGCCTTGTTTTCGCAGTAGTCAACGAGTTTATTGTTGTGAAGTAACGGTTTCCTTGGCTTCGAAGTCGAGGCCTTCCTTGATTCGTTCGCTTCCGTGGTCGTCGCTCGCCGTTCGCAGACACCATTCTTTGCAGGCCTCGAAGTTCCTGCACCCCGCGACGCGGGACGTTGCGCTGACCTTGGCGCGGCCAACGGACAGACGATAGCAGCGGTAGGAGCTCAGCCAACGGACAGACGCTGCGTTGACCTTGGTGCACTGAAAGCTTAACAAGCTCGAGAAAAGAGACCCATCCGGAAGCACACGCGCTCCGACGACAATGGCGACTGCCACGGAGCCAATGTCCGTCCCTCTCCCGCCAGACTCCTCCCGAACCGCGTCCCTCCCACCGCTCCCGCTCGCCAAATCATTGAAAGACGCAACTTCCGCGAGAGATCAGCAGCAGCAGGCCTCGTGGGTATCCGCTTCCGATCAATCAGCGCGGAACTCGAGCCTCAGTCCCGCGCGCGCTAGAAAAGGTCCCCTGGATAATTCCCCGCATTCCGTACTTGACGCCGCATTGTCCGCCGCCTCCTCCTCCTCCTCCCCCAGCTCCTCCTTCGTTCCGCGCGATAGCCGAGCGGGGGCTATAACCAGCGCGCCAGAGAGCACGAGCGCGTCCGCCGCCGCGGATTCCGGCGCCGCGTCCGCGAATGTCGCATCGGCCACCGCCTCTCCGCGCGTTTCCGGAGTTCTCCGCACGGCGGAGATGGGGAAAATCGACGCGGGCACTCCGCCGACTATGTCGAGCTTCCGCAGCCTGACCAGTAGCAGCATGGGATTCGACAGCGGCAGCGGACAAATCACGGACACCATGGTTGCGCAGATCGACGCGGATGCTGACGAGGCGCTCGAGAAATTCCTGGCCGCGCAATCGGCGCGCAGCGCCCGGAATTACGTCCGCCGCGCTGCTTCCGTCGCGAGCGCCGCTGCGAGTCCGCTTAGAGGGGATGGCGGAGACGCGGTTGCGCGGGTGTCAAGTCTTGAGAGGCAGATGGGGCGGTCGTCGCCCGCGAGAAACGCGATGTCGGGGGAGGTTTCCGCCTCCCCGCAGCGGTTTATGAGTCCCATGGCGTCGCCTGCGCGAGAAATGCAGCGTCGCAGCCGTCGCATGAGCACGGATTGTAGCGCGGTTGACATGCCGCCATTGGTTGAAGGGCTAGCTTCCGCCGATGTGACCGTCGCGCGCAATGCCGCGGAAAGCATCCGCAAAGCGTTGAAGCAATCCGCGGAGAACTGCGCGCGGCTGGTTGCGGCGGAAGGGGTGTCTCCGCTTGTGCGCACGATCCTAGCAGAAGATAAGGAAACCGCGGAGCACGCTATGACCGCACTATTGTTTCTGGCGGTGACGAGGCCCGCGGCGGTGGCGGATATTACTTCCGCGGGAGGCCTGCGCAATGTTCTCCGCGTGTTAACGCAAGAGCCTAGGGGAAGCGAGTTTCTGCGCAGCAACGCCGCCGCCACGCTGTTTCCGCTCGCGAATTCCCCCGACGCGCAGAAAACTGCGCTGGCGGCGCGGGTTCTCCCTTCGCTGGTGGCGCTGCTGCGGGAGGCCTCGTGTACGCGCACGAAAAAAGACACGTGCCTCGCGCTCGTCACGCTGGGGAGCGCAGCAGACGGTGCCCGCGAAATAGTTGCAACGGGTGTTGTTCCGCAATTGATCCAGCTACTGGTGGAAGCGGAAGCGGGGGTCGAAGAATTGGCTGCTGCGGTGCTGGGGGTGGTTGCGCGGGTCGAGGAGGGGTGGAAAGCTATCCGCGCGGACGAGGATGGTTTATCCGCGTTAGTGGAGTGCTTAGAGGGGGGTGTGGGACGCGCTAAGGAACACTCGGCGTCTGCTTTGCTGCAGATTGTGAAATCGGATCCTGATTCGATAGCGGTTCTGCTTGCGGAGGGGTGTTTGCCCGCGTTAGTGGCGCTTTCGAATAGCAACAGGCAGTGTAGCGATGCAAAGGAGCTTCTGGAGCTGCTGCGTGCTGCGTGTAATAAACGGAGTGATTAGATTGAAGCGTTTGGATTGCGAAAGCGGGGTTCTAGCGTTTGCTTCGCCGTACCCCTTATATGCACATGGCGTGGGACTGTATAGCAACCATGCCAGATACACATCAGCCTTTATTTCGCAGGACTAAAACTTCATCAGCGGACCTGAGATGGGGAGCTGCTAGAGAAGCTTTGGCTCTCCTGATCCAAGGAAATCCTGCCCAAATACCGTATTCCTGAAAGAGTAGGGATGGTAGGAGCTTCAGGGGCTGTTGGCAGGTGGGACTGGGCCCGGCAAAGGCGGGGGAGCGGTAGGAGAGAGAGGGTGAAGCAGAGGAGGTAGGAACTTCCGTAGCTCGTAGACCTTGTGGGGTGGCACGGGTAGCTTGGAGGAAGGGAAGAAAAGGAGGGACGGAGAAGAAATGAGAGGGGAGAATTTCTGGCATGGAGGCAAGACAGGACGGACCACAGCAAGTTGTAGGTTTTCTGAAAGGCTCTGCTGCACCTACCAATCCTGTGCTTTTCACCAGACCGGTACTGGAGAAAGCAGGTGTGGGTTAAGACAGGCAGGCAGACAGGTGGGCAGGCAGGCGGGCGAATGGGCAGGCAGTCAGGCACGCAGGCAGGCTATTGGGAATGGGAGGAAGAAGACGAGAAATGCAAGGGGTGTGGCCGATGCACAAGCAAGCTGGTGTATCCCTTGTAATGCCATGGATGGGTTGTCCTATGGCTGGCAGTTGGCAGGCAGCGTTTTCAGCTCCGGTACATTGCTGGAGTTCCCCTTATTACTGCGGTCTATGGGTGTTTCTGGGGTAATTTACTGGTATTTCCGGTTGGAGCTTGATTTGCTGATATATTTCTCTCTGCGCTCAACACACTGCTGATGTGGCAGGAGGGTCTGTTCTGTAACACCTGTGGAGGAGAATGTGTGTTTTGGCCGATGTGGTGCAGGCTCGTGGGGGGCATAAGGTTTGTTGGCAGTATGTCTACGATGGTTTGACTGTTTGCTGTTGAGGTGTCTTGCTCAACACTTTGATGGCAAGTTCAATTCCAAAGTTCTACTATACATTAGTTCTAAGCCACTGTGCCTTCTAAAGTTCTCTTATCCAATGTTCCACCTAGTGCAAGTCAGTGGGTGTTTCCACACCTTCCGACCCTGGTGAAACATGTTGTTACACAACAAATTGCCATGCATTCATCCTTTGAGATAAGAGTATTTCCAACATCACTACACTGGTTAGGTTTGCACTGTGTACTCGAGTGTTACAGTGATAATGAGTTCAAAGAAAAAAGAATGACAGCTGCAGAATCCAAGCACCATGCCCCAATCTACTGCCTCCCCATTACACCACACAGAGAGAGGCTTGAGCCTTCGCCGTGTTCCCTTGAGAGGCAGGTTTGTTCTCCTATGCACTGGATTACAGAGGTATTTGGTAACCAGGCAAGAAGTGACCAATAGGCAACAGTGTCAAGAAGAATCGATCAAGCTTGCCATGAGCGGAGTGAGCAGGGTGAGAGGGGTGAGAGGGGTGAGTGAGTTGCATCGCATGAGTTAGGTCAACTGAAAGCCGTGTTGAGTGGAGCAGTGGGGAGCAGTGGGGAACAGTGAGTCGCTACGGGACTGTGGGACTGCCATGCTTTCAAGACGGCTTAGATTTGTGAGCCCTGCATATGTCAGTGGATTAGCATCGTAAGCTCCTACGTGCAGTGGAGTGGAGCGGAGCTGAGAGGAGTGGAGTGGAGTGGAGTGGAGTGGAGTGGAGTGGAGTGGAGTGGAGTGGAGTGAAGTGAAGTGGAGTGGAGTAAAGTGGAGTGGAGGTGAGTGAAGCACAGTCAGTCAGTAGCGGCGGTTGGAGTGAGAGTGAGAGTAAGAGAGGGAGTGAGAGAGAGGGGAGGAGTGCAGGAAACGCTCATCCTCATCTGTAAGAAGATCATCCCCTAACAGGGAGGTGGCATCGTGTTGCATGTAACTCAACGCCCTCTGCCACTGCTCCTCACACAGACCTGGACTGTCCGACACTTCCCCCCCTGCTCCTGCTGCTGCTAGTCCTCCTGTTCCTCCTGCTCCTCCTGCTGCTCCTGCTCCTCCTACTGCTACTGCTGCTGCTGGTGTGTTACCATTAAAGAAGAGTGGCGCGATGGGAAGCGCAACCGATCTTGCAGGGACAGCAGGGGTATCACCAGCAAAGAAGCCCGGCGCGGTCCAAAAGGCAGAATCAGCGTCGTTGTCATACTCCCCAGCACCAGCAGGAGCAGCAGTGGTAGTCACCGCAGCTGCAGCAGGAGGGGTAGCATATGGTGATGCTGACCCAGCAGTAGCAGCAGAAGCTGTACCTGCATCTGTAGCGGCGGCTGTAGCAGTAGCAGTAACAGCAGCAAGGGAACGGACTGGTAGTGCCGACTTTTCAGGAGTTACCTCCATACCAAGAGCGCTCGACAGCGCATCAGCAGCTGAAGCATAGCCCGAGTCCATAAAGTCACTCGAAAAGCAGTCATTCAAGAAGCAATCATTCGAGAAGGGATCCAAGATGCGATCTGGTGGTGGCGTGTGCCGAGACGCCTCACCCCGCTCTCCCCTCCTGCCGCTCTCCCCCTCTTGTGCTGCCCCCGTCCCTCCCACGCTGCGATTACCACCCTGCATGGAGACTCCGTTTTCCATTAGACTGCCACCCCCTCTGAGACTGCTACTTGCAGCGCCCATGTGATTGCCATTGCTGCTGCCGTTTCCGTTGCCGTTGCCGCTGCCGCTGCCGCTGCCGCTGCCGCTGCCGCTGCCGCTGCCGCTGCCGCTGCCGCTGCCGCTGCCGCTGCCGCTGCCGCTGCCACTGCCACCCTGTGCCTGCACTCTCGATATCATGAACCTCTGATTCAGCGATTCAAACCCCTGTTCGCCCGCACACCCCCCCATGCCCATCCTGCCTCGTGCCAACTCTCCAGCCAGCACAGGCGGTGGAAACGCACTGGACCCACAGCTAGTGCTGCTGGGACTGCTGCTGCCCTGGTAAAAAAACTCGCCCTCTCTTTCCCCGCTGCTGCCGCCGTTTCCGCCCTCGTCCTCCTCATCCTCTTCCCGTTCCCTCTCTTCTTCCTCCTTGCCTTTCCTCTTCTCCTCCTTGAAATAGCTCGCCTGCTCCTCTTCCTCCCCCCCACTGCCATCGTCAATCCCACTAGCATCTGTGTGTGACCCATCTCCTCTGTTCTGCCACTGCTGCTGCTGCCAGTCCGTCTCGCTTGTGTGAAACGAGGAGGGAAGAGAAGAGATCACCTGCTGAGAGGGGATTGGGACGCTTGCCAGAAGCGTCTCTTCCCAGGAGTTGTAGGGAGTGGAGACTGGTGGAAGGGGATGGGAGTTGGAGGGGAGGACGGGATGGGAGGATGAGACGCGAGAGGAGAGGAGCAAGGAGAGGCAGTAAAACAATGTTGAACAGCAATAGAGGTGAGTAAAAACGGAAACACATGCCAGCACAAGCGCACACGCTTCCATGCACTAACTACAATTGGCCAAAAAACTTATGACAACTTACAAAGCCCAAACAACACCTGAGATACCTGGGGAAAAAAACACGTGAGAACACCTGAAACCACCTGAAAACAATAGTCACCAGAAGGGAGCAGCACCTGATGCAGCAGAATGGCTGGAGACAGCACGTGCAGGAGAGAGCGGTGATGGCGATTCCATTAGCAGCAACCACGGAGTGAGGATGGAGGGGGGTTGGCGTGAGGTGAGCAAGGGGGGCGGACGAGTGAGGGGAGACGCGGTGAGGCGAGGAGGAGGGGTGGAGGAGGAGGAGGAAGGAGGAGGGCCCTTTGGGGCGAAGGGGGATGGTGGGTTGAGTATCTTTGGAGGGGGGAGAGGGGAAGGCGGGGCGAGCTTGGAGGGGAGGGCGTGGGGTGAAGCCTTCAGGGCCTGGGGGAAAGGGGAAGGGGAAGGGAGACGCGGAAAAAAGGAAAGGGCAAGGGGAGGCGAGAAGGGGGAAGGGTGAATGGGGAAGGTGAAGGAGAGGGGAGATGAGGGCGAACGGGGAAGGTGAAAGGCGAAGGGAGACGAGGGGAGGATATGCGTAAGGGAGATGAGGAGAAGGGAAGGAACAAACAATCTCTAAGAAGAAAGAATCCACATTTGAAAACAGATGACACAGGTACTCGTACGAGGAGCCTTGAGCCCCGAGCCTCAATCTGAGTAAATTGTCTGGTACAAAGCCTTCCCCATACCATAACCGCCTTACGAGCCATAACCAAACAAATTGTCTTCCCCACTGTCCTCCACCTTACGAGCCTCACAGGCTGAGCCTCAGGCTGGGCCCTAGTGCCCTCCTCCTAGCTGCCAGCCTTCAGACGATACCCCACCCCCCTCTTCCCCTCCCCACCCCCTCCCGCCCATTCCCCCCGGATTCCCCTTTCCCATATGAGCCCCGGTTTGATCCCCACTCACAGCAGCAGGCGACTTGAGGGCGGAAGGAGGGGGAAGGGGCATGGCGAGTGATAGCTGAGCGTCCATGTGGGCAGTGGAACGGATAGAGGCAGAGAGCTCTTCCTCCTGCGCTGATAGCAGCGACTGGTGGCATGGGATGGTGGGTCGTGGGGCAAGGGAGAGGGGGGTGGGGGGAGGAGGGAGGGAGGGGGGAAGAGGGGAAGAGGGGGGAAGGAGGGGAGGTTGAAAGGGGGAAGTGTGAGCAACGGGTGCGCGTTCGTGTGGGCAGTGGAGCGGCGAGAAGAGGAGAGATCTTCTTCCTGTGCTGATAGCAGCGACTGGTGGCATGGGATGGGGAGGATGCAGGGTAGTTGGGGATGTCGGAGGACAGGACAAAAGAAGAATGGGGGGAGGGGGGAGCAAGGAGAAGGTAAAACAGGGGAGAGGAGAGGAGAGGAGAAGGGAGGAGGCAAATTCGAAAAGAAAGACAGGTGAAGCAAGAGAGTGCCATCCATCCCATCCATCCTCACAAGACCCGCCAAGAAAAGGGAAGAACGAGTAAAAAAGAAACGAAGAAACACATCGGCCGACCTGGTAAGACTGCTGCAGCTGAGCGTGCTGATGCTCCACCGCTTCTAACCTCCCCACATGCTCGAAAGAACATAGCAAGTGCTCCACATGTGAAATTCCTTGAAATGAATTAGTAGAATTACTGAATACACAACCTACCTGGCATTGGTGCTCCAGCTGAGCGTGCTGATGCTCCACCGCTTCTAACCTCCCCACATGCGACTCAACCACTCTCCCCCCTTCCGCTGATGCTGCCGTTGCTGGTGCCCCTCCCTGCCCGGCTGTATCTGCTCCTCCTTCTCTTGCAGCGATTGCCTCTGGAGGGGAGAAGAAGAAGTGCGTGGGGCCTGCTGCTTGTACTGAGTCCGCCTGTAATGAGGAGGGTTGCCGAGGGAAGATAGAGGGAAGGGGATGAGGAGGAACACACAGTGGATGAGGGGGGAGAGCAGGGGAATTAACGGGGGAGATAAAGGCCGCAAAGCACGGGCGAGCAAAAGCATGGGAGAACAAGAGAGGTAGAGAGAGGGCGTTTCAAGCGAGGGGGGGAAAGGGGAAGCGAAAGACAGGGTAACTTTCCAAGGTAACCACTTTTTGGTCGACTCACTGCCAACGTCCAACGTAGGGTAACCAACCATCCATCCATAATTCATCCCGTACCAGCTGCTGCAACGGGGATTGAAGTGCTGCCAGGGCTGCAGTGTGGTTCCCAATAGTCTCTGACCGTATCAACAACAGCTCATTGCCATTACCACTGCTGCCACCACCGCCACTGCCGCCTCCACCACCAGCTATCCCCCCCTCTCCTCCTTCTCCTCCTCCCTCTGCTGCCGCTCCTGCTGCCGCCCCTGGTTCTCCTGACCCTGCCTTGCCTTCCCCTAGCTCCTCACAGCCGTCCCCACCATCCCCACCACCTTCACCATCCCGACCGTTCCCAGCATCGCCACCACCGTCGCCACCCCCAGCACCAGCACCAGCACCAGCAGCATCACACACACGGCTGGAGCCACAGGGTTCCTGCCCTGACTCCGTGCCTGCTTCACTGCTCCCTTGCTGCTCCCGCCCTGTAGCTCTGGAAACGTGCAGGAGAGAGAGGGGCACGGGGAAGGAGAATTTTTAAGTCGACTCGGGCGTTGCTTTCATTGCTGCTCTTCCCCTGTAGCCAGGAACTTGACTCCTAAATCACACAAATAAACATTGCGGAATGAGCGAGCAAGCAGGATAGGGAGAGCGGGAAAAGAGCACGTGGTAAGAGAGGGACGGGGCGAAAACGAGGAATGGTGAGGAGGGTGGAGAGGAGGGTAGCACAGGGGGAGATGGGGGAGAGGGGGAGGTGGGATGAGTAAAGTGATAGGTGTGAAGGATAGTTATGATGTTGTGATGGTGATGGCAGCAGCACAGGGGAAGAATGGCACAGCAGCACAGCAGCAACAGCAGTGCAGGTGTGCTGGTGATGGTCGCTCTTTTATGGTGGCAGTGGTGGCGGCGGCAGTAGAGAGGTGGTGGTGGTGGCGGCGGCAGCAACAGCAGCAGCAACTGCAGAAGCAGTAGCAATAGAAGCTTGCAAAAGGGAGATAATTAAAGACGGCAGTGCAAGAGAATGCATGCACATGCACATGCACATTACATGCACACGCACATGACATGTACATATGAGTGTAGGAGGCGAAAGGATGAAGAAATGAGATATCACCTGGAGTTCCGGGCAAAGAATCGGCCCGTTAGATCCGCTAGCTTAGGGACATCCGTCTCTGCAGCACAGCACATCACAGCACAGCACAGCATGGGCAAACACAGCACAGCACAGCACGGGCAAGCACATAGAGATGTTGGCAGACAAAAAAGGACTTTCAGAGTCCAATAGTTGTCACAGCACAGTCACACAGGACAAGACAAGATGCTAGCAAGGGAGAGAGTATAGAGCGGGAAAAGGCAAGAGATGGGGTTGAGGGAGAGAATTGATGGGTAGGGTGAGGTGGGGTGGGGTGGGGTGGGGTGGAGTGGGGTGGGAAATACACATGAGTAGGACAGAATTTTTTAAGTGCCACAATTGAAGGAGTGCAGGAAACACAACACAAGAGTGGCGGCGAGAGGCACTGACCCAAGCTTGAGTTTTGAGGCGCCTCATAAAGAGCCACAATGGAAGGAGGGCAGGGAACGCAACACAAGAGGGATGGCGAGAGGCACTGACCCAAGCTTGCTGACAGCTGTTGCAGCTGCCTGTGCACTGCCTTGACACCCTCAGACTCACAATTCTAAGCTACAGCAAAAGTATTTCTCAACATAGCAGCACTGACCCAAGCTTGCTGACAGCTGTTGCAGCTGCCTGTGCACTGCCTTGACTCCCTCTGGCTCCACCGCTGATCCTGCTGCTGCTGCTGCTGGCGCCTGCCGTGGTAGGTAGGGTGTGAGAGGGCGACGGGGAAGCAGTCAGTAGAGAGAGGGCGAAACACAGACACAGCTCACTGTGCCGCACAGTACCGCACTGCACTGCACTGCAATGCACTTCACAGAACTGCAATGCAGTCCACAGCACTGCACTGAGTACAGGACAAGCTACTGGCGCATGGCAAGGCGAGCTCTCACAAGCCTGTCCCTGATTTGACTGAATTAAGTTTGAGGTTTTGAGTTGACGATCACAGAAATCATTTGCAGGCACGCAAAGGACCAGCCGAATGATACATAGCTCCATGCTCTTGCATTTCACAGTAATTGGCGTGCTCTTGCATTGCACAGTCGGCTGAAAAGGCGAATCCGCTTGCTCTTGAGTTGACTGAGAAGGTTGCGTCCTCTTACATTGCGTGTGCCGCGCTCTTGCCTTGCGTGTGTTGGTGTGTGCTTACATTGCGCAGCTCGAGGCTTCGGATGGTTCGCTCTAGCTGCGCTGCTTGCTCCATCTGCCACGCGTGCGACTGCTGCAGCCCCTGCTGCCTCGCGAGCAGATTGTAAGGCACCTAAAAAAATGTTCAAGGTGGTGTGGGTGGGGAGCTCTTACATTGCGCAGCTCGAGGCTGCGGATGGTTCGCTCCAGCTGCGCTGCCTGCTCCATCTGCCACGCGTGCGACTGCTGCATCTCCTGCTTCCTCGCTTGCAGCTGGTCTGAATGCCGCGCCAGGCTGGCCTGTGTTGTGCACGAAACGTGGTGTTTACATGCGGATTCATGCAGTCATGCATGCATGCGCACATGTGTGTGCATGGGTACTCACACAGTCGCACATGCATGTGAGCACATGTAGGTGGGCATGCACGCGCACACACACATACTCACACATGAGTTAGCACATGTAGAAGAAGAGATTCACGCAGACAAGTACATAGGGAGGAATGGTGAGCGCAAATAGCAGCACAAGTAAGAATCACACACAAAAGCCAAGAGCGTGCATGGGAGAGCAGGAAAGAGAGAAGAAAGATAAAAGAAAAAAAAAAGAGAAGAAAGGTTTGCAGACAGGAGGCCTAGCAGGCAACGAGGAGAGGAGGGAGAGAAAACACTGTTCCGCAGGGATGCAGCAATAACGCACCAATTTTGTGGTATGCACAGCAACCAGTTCAGATCTGGTGCCGATATGCCGATACACATGTGCCACGTGGCCCCTCTTGCGTGCAAGTAACATGGTCAGCGCGTGCGCTGACAGGTAGAACAAGAGCTCCACCATCCTGCCACGTGTCAAGACATGAGTCGTAGATTGCACATGGGCATCTGAGGATAAGTTGCAGTTGTACTGGCGTACCTAGGCTCGTTGAACCCTATTGGTCACGCAATGCAATGCATGGGACGAATGGGTCTAAGACCCAGAGTGTATAAGGGCCAGGGTGCCGTGACTATGGCTGCAGCAGAACAGTATATGCGTAATGGACATGGTCAGATGTCATCACTTGGTCACGTGGCATCACATGGTGAGATGGCATCACATGGTCACATGGCATCACTTACCATGACAACAATACTACGATATGATCACTTGAAAAGACAGTAAGACGACATGAATTGACATAAGAAAACCCACAATGGACAATGATTTGGTCCAAAACGAGGCACATGAGTGAGAGGAGAGAACAGGCATATGCAATACCACCGATCACCTGCCATTGCTCTTGCCAGGCCATTTTCTTTCCCCTCGCCAGTGCCATTGCCATTGCCATTGCCATTGCCATTGCCATTGCCATTGCCATTGCCATTGCCATTGCCATTGCCAGTGCCATTGCCATTGCCTCTGCCATTGCCATTGCCATTGCCATTGCCGTTGCCTCTGCCATTGCCAACCATCGCCTCACCTGGGCCCCGTGGCAGCAATGATGGTGGTGCTACGCGCGCTGTGGGGAGAGATGTAACCTTGCGCCTCTAGCTCCTTCAGCAGTAACAGCACATTCTCAGCAGTAACAGCACATCCAGTCAATCATGGACCTCACCCAGTCGAGTCAACCATCGTCCCACCTGGGCCCCGTGGCAGCAATGACGGTGGTGCTACGCGCGCTGTGGGGAGGAACGCGGCCGTCGGTTTCGAGCTTCTTCAGCTCCTCTATCACCGCCTGAACCACCAACCAATCACAGCCCGGCAAAGTCAGTTTCACGTTTGAATCCGGGTTGGAATAAACAACATAGCCAAAAAAACTTGAACTGAGCGTGTCTTGCAATGTCCAGCTTGGTTTCTCCTATCTATAAAGGTCACGACAGCTCGAATGGATTGAAAGTCTGCCGCTTCAGCCGGCTCCTTGCGACGTACCTTCCGCATTTTCGTAAGCTCTGCCTTGACGAGCGGGAACTTCCAATTGATCTTGTCTTCCTGAAAGCAGCCGGTCAGAACAACACGAGAGCGAAACAATTCAACGGCTGAGATTGGCGACTGAGAAAGAACACACGAAAAAAAATACACCCGAGATACGTTAGTGCGGAGAATGAGTTTGCGAAAACTCGTAGACAAGGAGAGGAAGCCAAGAGCGCGGACGCATACTGGTAGTATTCTCGTGAGCAGAAAATGCAAGATGGCGTTGCAAGCGTCGAGGTTGGTGACTCTAAACATTCCCGGAATAAGGAGAATATTAGATGAGACAGGGTCCTTGAGAAACCCTAATATCTCGAGGTTGGCAAACAGCGCGTCCTCCATATAGCGCACGCTGCGATTTTGATCTAGCTGCTGCCTCTCCATAGCGGCTCGACGGAGAACGCGACCGAACGAGACGCTACGCTGCAGAATGCACCAACATCCACCTGATCAGCAGCTGATAGCGCAACGGCATAACAGAAACCAGCTCACACACGAAGCAATGACGTGCCTTGGGCCCTTAGGATTTGCCCGACGCGACACTCCGAGCTGAGTGTCCTAGGAAATCGCATTTCTCCAGGGATCTGGAGTCTGACTACTCCTGCCATCACGCGGGATCGCCAGCGGAGTTGAAGTTTGGCGGGACGGGAACCAGTCCCAAGGCAGAAGTTGAGGTGAGGAAGAATCGAGGGGAGCTTGACGAAGGCTCATGCTCTCTGCGAAGGCCTTGGGAAGGATGCGAAGAATATGGAAGCCGTGGATTGGCTGGAGAGCTCGCGAAAATGAATTTCACGCATCCAATACCGAGGCAAGGTGTAATCAATACAGCCAGCAATGGCTGAAACGAGTTCATACAGCTTTGACAAAAACATGAATGAATCAACTACTATTGATGCAGTTGTATAGTTACATACAACTGCTGAGGCATTTCCATGCATGTATTGTATGGGCATATAAAGAACCAGAAGGCAGTTATGGTTATGTATTTATTACCTTTTCTAGAGAAAAGCACCAGTGTCTCATGAAAAAGCAGCATGTTAGGTGGAACTTTAAGGTAATGCAACTCGCATGTTCATTACCAGTTTGAATGCATAAAAATAGAAAATTATCAAACAATCTACATCATTTTTCTCATCACATCTGCAAGCCATGCCCTTGGTTTAATAAAAACAATCATATCTTGCCTAGTCCTCTGTTTGTTCAGTCAAGTGTTGATCACACCAAAGCTCAATATAACGGTCGACATAACTTTCACAAGCGAAGCGAACGGTCCGCTGCGAATGTTTCATTCCGTTTTCTAGAAAACGGTAGTTTTACCCTCGCGTCGCGAATTTGGAACTGAAAGCGGTCCGGTCAAATTACCGGCTAGCCACGCCCACGCGCCCTGGTTCCATTTGAATCGTTGGGGTATGGCGATATAACATGGGCTCGGATCATCGCATTCGTTTCTGTTTCTCCACACCAAGCGTCGCATGACATGGCAGGGCGGTACTGAGCGACAATTCATCCACCGTGCGACAGCTACATCTGTCGTCGAAATCCATCTCTGAGCCCGCTCAAAAGGACACAAAATTCCTTTTGTCCCAACTAAAATTCGTCCCCACATTTGCCCATTCCACTTACGATTATCCGTCCCCATTTGACCCGAACCCAGAATTTAGCTTCACACAAATCGTCGTTGGCCATACTTCGCATAGACCAGCCAGCAACCTCAACCAACTTTGGCTCGCGAGCTAACAATGGCCGATACCGAGCAGGGATTTTCTGCTCCTCTCCACAAGTATGTCCTTAGTCCAGTCGAGGAGGAAGATCGCGCCACTCTCCGCAGCCGCTGGCTTCTATCTCTTTGTCTCTCAACTCCCGACCACCGCCTCGCATCCACAACCCCTCCTCCTCCCAACCGTTTCTCCGCTGCGACAACCACCGAGTCGGGAAGCGAAACCCCTCCCGCAGGTCGAAATCGCGCGGAGAACATCGGAGATCAGTCGCCCATCTGCCCGAAGCGACTGTCGTTCTCAATGCCGGGAGAACCGCCTTCCCCTAAAGCCCTCGACTGGGGTACCCGAATGTTCTCGTCAGCCTCGGTGGCGGGCTTGTTGCCGAACCTCCTCCACCAGCGAATGCCGCAGGTTCGGTTCATGGTTGCGGTAATGGGCCTCGTCGTCACAGCGTCGTTCCTCTTCTCCGACGGAGTCGCCAGGGGAAATGCGACGCTGAGCGGATGGTGGCCAACTGATACGACGTCGCCGACCGTCGCACGTTTGCGAGGTAGTAACCCGGTGGACAGTCGTCGCAACGGCGGAGCTAACGGCAAGTATGTGTCGGTGGCGCGGCAGGAGCAGCAGAGGCGGCGGCTGTGGTGGGCAGACCGGGAGAGCGAGGCGGCTGAACTTTACCCCATGGATCCTGCGGTAAGCTTACATTGCGGTACATCATGGCTCCGGCACCGGATTCAGCAGTCGGAACACCACTGCGGCTCGTCATCGCGCCAACGTGTGTGCAAGTCTCGGGCAGCCGTAATTGCAGTTGCATTCTGGATCGAGGGTTCGTTTGGGCGCGCATGAGCATGAAAGGCGGGCCATTCCAAATCCCGCATGCAAGCTGGGTAAACTCCCGAGCAATTCAGATGTTACAACCGCTTGTCTAACTTCTGAAAAAAAATCATCCTCGCGACCTCCGCTGTCCGTCGTGCATACCGCGTTGTGTGCCAAGTTCGCCGCGCATGTCATGCCACGTGTCTGTGTCTAATGCTACTGCGCGTCTTGTTCTTCTGGTGTGGGCAGGAGCTGAGAGTGCGCGAGGAGATGGTATCACTGCAGTGGCTCAAATATCGATCGGGTCAGCTGCAGCTGCACGTGCACTCCAGTAACGAGGTGCGCGCACACCCTGCCCCCGGTAAAGTCACCTCCTTGAGAAACGAAACTCCAAGAACACCACACGTTTCTCGCATCCGCTGCTTTTCTAGTCAGACACCTCATTTTGTGGTGGCGACTTGGAAATAGCCCATGTATCCTCGTTCCATCGTAGGATGTAGGGATCATGCGAGGCGAATCTGGAGCACGAGAAGAACAGCAAGGAAAAACGAGTAGCAAGCTGACCAGCAGTTTAACCCGCAGTCCTGGCTTTGTCTTTACAGGTCGACGTCAGCTTCTGGGGTGACGTGTTCCGAACCGCATTCTCGGAGCTTTCCGGGCCGCACGATGCGGCGCGCAGGGCGGCGATTCGGCGGATCGCCCGGCTGTCAACTCAGGCGTACGACGTGGATCTGTCCGCTACATTCCCCGTACGCGCGCGTTACATTCCGCCCCGCACGCCCTGCTTTCTCCTCCACTCCGTTCCCCTCTCACCTCAGTCTTGCTCCACTTCACGTTAATTGTCTCGCTTGCTCCTCCGCTCCTGGTCTTTCTCGCAAGTTCTTTTCTATGCCTTTCTCTGGTTGCTACGCAGAATCGTCTGCTTCGTAGACAGCATATTCGAGGTAGCACGACCATACCAAGTTCTCTACCCCATCTCCTCCCTCGTGCCTGTCAGGTGTTTTGCCCGAAATGGCGGTGGCAGACCAAGGCGAGCACCAGCAGCAGCAGCAGCAGCAGCTGCAGCAGCAGCAGCAGCAGTCACAGCGGTCGCTGCAGTCGCAGCAAGTTAAGGTTGGGAAGCAGAACCCGTCTTACACGAGCCGCAGGCCCGGGCAGCCGCAGGGCGGGAAGAGGCACCAGGTGAAGGCGTCAGTGATGCAGGGCCGTCCGAGGCACGACTAGTGCCTTATGAGGTTCAGGCTCGGCATGAGGATCCCCGCGGTCGTCATTTGCGACAGCAGCAGATCTCTGTGAAACTAACGGCCCTCTTTAGCAGCTCTGGCTGCACTACTGACAACAAGGCGCTTTTCTCGAGGACCTATCTCTCTCTCTCTCTCTCTCTCTCACTCTCTCCCCCTCACTCTCTCCCCTCACTCTCTCCCCCTCACTCTCTCTCTCCCCCTCACTCTCTCCCCCTCACTCTCTCCCCCTCACTCTCTCCCCCTCACTCTCTCCCCCTCACTCTCTCCCCCTCACTCTCTCCCCCTCACTCTCTCCCCCTCACTCTCTCCCCCTCACTCTCTCCCCCTCACTCTCCCCCCCTCACTCTCCCCCCCTCACTCTCCCCCCCTCACTCTCCCCCCCTCACTCTCCCCCCTCACTCTCCCCCCCTCACTCTCCCCCCCTCACTCTCTCCCCCTCACTCTCTCCCCCTCACTCTCTCTCCCCCTCACTCTCTCCCCCTCACTCTCTCCCCCTCACTCTCTCCCCCTCACTCTCTCCCCCTCACTCTCTCCCCCTCACTCTCTCCCCCTCACTCTCTCCCCTCACTCTCTCCCCCTCACTCTCTCCCCCTCACTCTCTCCCCCTCACTCTCTCCCCCTCACTCTCTCCCCCTCACTCTCTCCCCCTCACTCTCTCCCCCTCACTCTCTCCCCCTCACTCTCTCCCCCTCACTCTCTCCCCCTCACTCTCTCCCCCTCACTCTCTCCCCCTCACTCCCTCCCCCTCATTCTCTCCCCTTCACTCTCTCCCCCTCACTCTCTCCCCCTCACTCCCTCTTTCCCCCCCCCACCCCCCCTTCCGTTCCGTCCCCTCCTTCCCACCATCATCTCTCGTAGCATAGTTACTAGACTCGGTCCTTTCTCGTCTCGAGGACCCTTAACTTTTCTTCTTTGGCTACAAGTGCTGGACATAGTGAATATCCCCTCTGGGTTGGACTTTTAAGGGTCATTATTTTGTTTTGTTGTGTGTGTTGAATTGGTGTGACAAGCTTTTACGTAAGCGAAAACGAATCACTAATGCAATTACAATCCATATGCTTTTTAAAATTGCACATGCACACGGAAATTGCATATGAGACGTCCAAGATAACGAAGCTGGTACAATACAATCGCGCGGAATATTGTGCACTCTGCTGGGGGAGATTTTGCCTTCTCATCCACTGAAATCTCTAAATCTTGTACGCATCTCGTTTACAGGGTGAACACGTGACTCGAAGCGCCAGTCGCGGCTGCCACTTTCCGGCGTATCCTTTTCCGTTTCTCATTTTCTGCGCTAGCGTCCGTCGCTCTCTGTGGCGTGGAGGCGTTTCCTCTCGTGTAGGGTAATCCAGAACCGACGAATTCTCTGCTGTTTTGGAGATTCGCGTCCATCAGATTTGCTTTCCTGACCGCATTGATTCGCCCGCAGTAGCTAACAGGGCCCATATCGGTTCTAGGGCACAAATACGCGCGGGAATTGCTTCAACAGGAGCTGTCGGTGCTGTTCTTTCCTGCTGCTTTTGCTTTGTTTGGTGGGGTAGCTTGTAGCCTTGAGCTGTTATCCCGCCTGAGAGCAACCTAGGGTTTTCTGCATCAGGCCTAGCTACATCGTAGCTTCGTTCCGCATGCTGGAGGGTTCGCGTTAACCCTAAATTTCGATACAGCGCCGTAAACCCGGGGATAGGCGTTCCAAGGTTTAAGCGAGTTCGTTTCGTACTCGCTATAGAGCAGATTTCGACAATGGGAACCAAGCTTGAGGCGAAGCAGGTGGTTTACTGCGGAGGTATGTTGTCCTTCCTGGAAAGTTTCTCAGAACGCATCAGCACATCGCAGCCTTTCTTAGACTGAGAATAATAGATTCAAACTCCTAGACGTTTCGCCTCCTCTCTCTGATAATAAAAAAAAAACGTCTGCCGCTCATTTGTTCGCATTCGCTTTCTCTCTATCGTTGCACTCCTGTCTCATGTCGCAACTCCCCTGCTCCCCTCACCTTCTCTCACTCTTCCCACGTCCCATATCCCCCTTTCTCCCCCTTGCTCCCCCTCCCCCCCGTCTCCTCCCCCTTCCCCTTCTGCGCGCCTTCCGCGCTCTTCGCGCGTGCGCGCGCGCGCGCCAGTGTGCGGGCTGCCCCCGGAGTTCTGCGAGTTCGGGCCGGACTTTAACAAGTGCAAGCCATGGCTGCTGGAGCACACGCCGCACCTCTACCCCGACCTCGCGGGTGAGTCGCAGGGGTGGGGGGGAGTGGGGGAAGAAGGTGGGAGGAGAGAGGGGGAAGACGGTTGGCAAACCGGGGGAGTGGGGAGAGGGGGAAGTGTCCTTGCCGGACTTTATCAAGTGCAAGCCGTGGCTGCTGGAGCACACGCCGCACCTCTACTCCGACCTCGCTGGTGAGTCAGGCGACGATACAGCGTGGGGCGGAGAAGGGGAGAGATGAGGGAGAGAGATGAGGGTGAGGGGATAGATGGGGGAGAGGGGAGCGAGGGGGGAGAGGGGAGAGAGGGGGAAGAGGGGAGAGAGGGGGGAGAGGGGAGAGAGGGGGGAGAGGGGAGAGAGGGGGGAGAGGGGGGAGACTGGGCCACGGTTGGTTGGGAGCTCAACAAGTGTAAGCTGCGGCTGCACAAGCACACGATGTACCACCTCCACCCTGACCTCGCCGGTTAGTCAGGGGGCGAGGAAGGGGAGAGAGGGGAAAGGTGGGCGGAGAGAATAAAGGGGACACGGGGGGACACGGGGGGACACGGGGGGACACGGGGGCACACGGGGGGACACGGGGGCACACGGGGGACACGGGGGGACACGGGGGCACACGGGGGGACACGGGGGGACACGGGGGCACACGGTTGGACACGGGGGCACACGGAGAAAGAGTTTAGGGCGGAATTCAACAAGTGCAAGCTGCGGCTGTGGGAGAACACGATGTACCACCTCCACCCTGACCTCGCTTTTGAGTCGACTCAAAAGCAGGCTGTGGGAGAACACGATGTACCACCTCCACCCTGACCTCGCTTTTGAGTCGACTCAAAAGCAGGCTGTGGGAGAACACGATGTACCACCTCCACCCTGACCTCGCTTTTGAGTCGACTCAAAAGCAGGCTGTGGGAGAACACGATGTAACACCTCCACCCTGACCTCGCTTTTGAGTCGACTCAAAAGCAGGCTGTGGGAGAACACGATGTACCACCTCCACCCTGACCTCGCTTTTGAGTCGACTCAAAAGCAGGCTGTGGGAGAACACGATGTACCACCTCCACCCTGACCTCGCTTTTGAGTCGACTCAAAAGCAGGCTGTGGGAGAACACGATGTACCACCTCCACCCTGACCTCGCGGGTGAACCAGGGGGCGAGGCGGGTTGATGGGGAGAAGCTGCGGAGGCTGCAACAGCTGAGAGAAGGGCCCGTTGTGACGCCACTGCAAATGCCGTTTCTAAAACACTGCATACTCTCCGCTCTCCACCCTTTCTCCTGATTTTCCAGCTGAGAATCTCGACGAGTTATCAACGGCTGAAGGGGGGGGTGGCGGCGTTTGCGTTCTCATGCACACTGCTTATTCCCTCCCTGCCCTGCACTGCCCTGCACTCCCTTGTTATCTTTATTTCCTCAGCTGAAAAACTCAAGGAGTTGTCAACAACTGAGGGAGGTGCAGGGGAAGCAGGAGCAGGAGCAGCAGCACCGGGTGAGTACAACAGAGCCAGGTGAGTTCAACGGAGCCAGGTGAGTCCAACAGAGGCAGACGGGTACACAGATCTGTGCATATCTACATGGTTATCTGTTACCTACCCCTTATGATCCTCCTCGCAGATGCTTGTTGCAACCACTGAATCCGCATGCTATGCTATGGGTAGCTGGATAGCATTGTGGGACGAGCTGTTGCTGTGCTGTGCAGTTGCAGATCCTGGGACTTTATAAGCCCGAACCTTTGCGCTGCTGCTCACTGGAACATGTCCCAGAATCCGCATGTCATGCTATGGATAGCAGAATAGCTGGATAGCATTGTGGGACGAGCTCGGGTCGAGCTGTTGACCTCTCCCTGCACGCATTGACACTCTTTCCTGTTGCTTTTCATACATCCTCTCCCCTTTTTCTTCCACCCTCTCTGCATGCAGCAGCAGCCAAGCCAGAAGAGCCTGTCAAGAAGCTGCCTGGGGGGCGGGTCAAGAAGCAGGTACGCACAGGGGAACGAGTGGGCGTGGGCGTGGGCGTGGGCGTGGGCGTGGGTGTGGGTGTGGGCGTGGATGTGTGAGTTTCGAAATGCCTCAGAAGCTGCCTGGGAGGCGGGTCAAGAAGCAGGTATGCACAGGGGGCACGTGTGAGCATGATCATGGGCATGTGCGTGGGTGTGTGGGTGCGGACATGCGTGTTAGGAGTGTTGGAGGCAATGTTGCTGCATCACATGCTACTGATGATACCTAAGGCGTCTGCTACGCTACGCACTCATGCTGCCATCATTGCCCACCTCCCTCGTCTCTCTCCACCTCTCTCCCTCCCTCTCCGTCTCTTTGCACCGCCTACTACTGATATGCAATTGATCCGACACGGCATGGCATGGCATGGCATGGCATGGCATGGCGTGGCATGAGCAGGATAAGAAGGAGGTGGTGGTGGAGCGAATAGTGCGCAACAAGCGCAAGTCAGTCACGGTTATCAAAGGCCTCGAACACTTTGGTAACCCCATGCTCTCTGCCTCCTCCTCCCCTTCTTTCTTACTCGCATTTGTGGCACCCTCTTAAATAGTTCTATAACCGCGTTTTCTCTGCCGCCTTCTCCTCCTCTTTCCCCCTCACTTTTTGAGGCGCCTCAAAAAGCAAGTCAGTCACAACGATCTCTCATCTCTTCTCGCTCTGCCTTCTCACCCCCCTCTTCCTGAGCGAGAGTTTCACTTTTGAGAGTTTCACTCCGTCAACACTTCATCGCCCACCCTCTCTCTTCACCACCACACCACTCCCTCACCACTCCCCACCCCTCCGAACCCAACCGCTCCCCCTCCCTCCTGTGCAGGTGTGAAACTGCCCGAAGCAGCCAAGAAGCTAGGCAAGAAGTTTGCCAGTGGGGCCTCGGTGGTCAAGGTGGGTTGGGGTGCGATGCAGGGTCATGTTTGAGTTGAATTAGGGCGGACGTGGTAGGGGTGTCGTCGATTAGAAAGCCGATTAAAGTCGATTAGGAAGTTAATGGCAGCTGTAAGAAGGGCACATGCGCTCATGCAACCATCATGCGCTCATGCAACCATCATGCGCTCATGCAAGCGTTATGCACAAGTGCATGCATGTAGATACACGTACGCGCACATGCATGCACGCCATCCACTCACTTCCACCATCCTAGTCACTCCTACTTTCAACTTCCTCGTCCGTTCCCTCCCTCCCTCCCTCCCTCACTTCCTACCTCTCTCCATCTCTCCTTCTTTCCCTCCCTCCCCCACTCCCTCCCTCCGTCCCTCCCGCCCACACTCCCTTCCCATCCCCCTCTCCCCAACTACAGGGACCAACGGAGAAGGAGCAGGTGGACGTGCAGGGGGACATTCTCCTCGATATAGTCGAATTCATTACAGCCACATGGCCCGACGTGAGGCCCCGCTTCCTACTTCAATCATTCCATGCCTTGCTGTGTTGTGCTGGCTTTGTGTGGTTGACTTGTACTGTCTTATCCTGCCCCACCCTTTCTCCCTTCTGACTGGAATGGTAGGATGATGAACAGGTGCATGCTCACCCTCTCGCTCGCCTTAGCCCCAAGCACACCTTGCTTTGTCGTCGCGTCTGTCTGCTGGCCTCCTTTGCTTGACCGTTCCCTTGCTATTGACATATCTCGCCTCGCTCTCTCCCTTGTTACACCTTCCTCCGTCCCCCCCCCCCCCCCCCCCCCTTCCCCCCTCCCTCCACCCTCTTTTGTTCAGGTGCCTGAGGAGGCTATTTTCTTCATAGAGGACGGAAAGAAAGTACCTGCATGCTAGCATGCTAGCATTCTCGCATTCTCGTCCATTGCCCTGCCGGCCCTCTTCCCTTGTGCTCCTTCCTACCAGATCTGTAACTGCAAATATGGTCTTTAAGTTCAGATTAAGACTGCCACCTGTAACCATAAGACTAGCGATGTACGAACTCGCTGATCGAAGTAAAATACGAGTATCCACTGACCAAATAGGAAAAAACTGATTAGCAGAAGAAGCAGCAGCAGCACACTCCGGTCCACACCAGATCTTTGTGCAGTGCATTGGCTTATAGCTGTGGTTGGTTATGCATACCGTCATCGCCCGGATATAAGACATATATGTCTTGTCTCGTACACAAAAAAAAAAAAGCTTGGGTTATCTTGTATTTGGGGAGGTTTTGGGTGTCTTATAAGTCTTATAAAAGGAAACTTTTTTAAAGTACTTGGAAATATTTTCACACATCTTGAAAAGAGTTTCTCATAATGAGTGTGGATGTTGCGAAGGTGCCACTTCGGCAACCATTGTACGGGACGCCACGTCATGGAGAACACTAGCAGAGGCAAATTCAGTAGTACGTGAGTCAGCACGTGGCAGAATTCGCCTGCCGCAAGGGTAAAAATGTATGCGATATTTCAATATCCACTATAATATATTGAAGTTTCGATTATAAGACATATATGTCGTATCTCGTACACACAAATAGGTGTCTTATAATGAGGCTAGCCTGTTTATAAGAGACACCCGTATAGTAGACAACCCCTGTCTACTATTCAACACTGTATTAATATCCGGGCGGATACGGTAGCAAAGTCCTGCTCGACCTGCCCTAAACTGTGCTCAGACAGCTCTTTCACTGCCAAAGAAACTGCTTCACAAGTGTAGCAGTGCCATTGATATTTGCAGGACTCGATTCTGCTCTCTGAGCCAGTAAGCTGACTCTCACCGTCAGTCCCATGAGAGATAAAGTAGAATACCAATACTCAGGCGTATAAAAGGCAATCCACCTTCGAGAGTTCTCAAAAGTGATTTTGATATAGTCAGGCGTTTAAGAGGCAATCAAGTGAGATCTGCTACGGTAACATGCGAGAGCTGATTTACGAGGCACCTACAAAATCAGCCTCAGCCTAACTAACAATCATCTCTATCTACCATATTACCACTACAGCACGCGACAGCACGTGTCAGCAACTACCGGTTGCACCACTGGCTGTATTCACTAAAGCCATTCAGTCAGCTGTGCTGGTGTTTCCTTTTCAGCACGGCAGTGTGTCATCACTGGAGGCACGATAGTGGCACAATGCTTACACAGCCTTGCTCAGCTCCCGGCAAAATTGCTTGCAAACCACTGCTCACTGCACGCTGCTCACAGCAGCAGCATGGAGTAGAGGATATCAGCCCAGGTGTCAGGAACGCCCGGGTTGCACCAGTGGGAACAGTCAGTGCTGGGCCCTCCCGTGTAGTTCTGCAGGTGCCCGTCCGGCCGCATGAGTGACAGATGCGTGATGTCTAGCATCCGAAACTGCACACTGCTGCCGCCGCTGCTGCTGCTGCTGCTGCTGCCGCCGCCGCCGCTGCCGCTTCCGCCGCTGCTGTTACTGTTGCTGCCGCCGCCGCCGCTGCTGCCGGAAGAGGGCGAAGAGGGTGGGTCGGCGTCGCCATCGTCTGCTTCCTGTGGCTTGGCCGTGCTCGTTTTGCCGGAAGAGGATTTGGAAGAAGAAGAAGAAGAAGAGGAGGAGGAACCCTTGGTACTGGTAGATGAAGAATCTTTGCTAAAAGAAACTTTGCTAGAAGAACTCTTGCTAGAAGAACCTTTGCTGCCGGAAGAAGAAGTCTTGTTAGACGAAGAGGAACTCTTGCTGCTGCTGCTACTGCTGCTGGTCAGTAAGCTCCTGGCCGTGCTATGAACCTCAACCTCCTCCTCCTCACCGTCTGCCCCCTCAACCCCCTTAGTCGTCCCCACTCTGACCGATGATCCACTGCTCCTCGCCTTACCCATCCTGTTCTTGCTCATCGTTTTGCTTCTCTTGCTACTGCTGCTCCTGCTACTGCTCCTCTTGCTGCTGCTGCCGCTGCTGCTGCTGCTGCTTCTGCTGCTGATCCTGGTCTTCGCAAGAGCACCGGCAGCACCAGCAGCAGCAGCGGGAGGGCTCCACGTCACGCCCTCAAAAACCTTCAACTGAACAGCAACTGCCTCCGAAGCATCACTATACTTCTCCGCATTCGCCAGCTCAGCAGCCGTAAACGGCATCTTCTCGCCCTTGCAGTTGCGCCCAGAATCCGGCCCTCCATACGCCTCCTCGTCGTGGAAAGGCGAGAAGGAGAGCATCACGGGTATGCCTTTGTAGTTGGACCGGATTATGTGGTCGCGAACAGTCGCGTGCGCGATTTCCATGGCTTTATAGCCCGTGATGCCGGTCTGTTGCACGCCCTTTATGTAGTATTGGCGTAGGCTGGACGGAGCCTGGTGGACGGGTGGCGGGAGAGGGGAGGGTTTAATGGGAGGGAGAGAGAGAGAGAGGGAAGGAGGGAGTGTGTGTGAGGGCGTGAGTGAGGGGGTGAAAGGAAGAATGGAAGATGGAAAACGGAGAGAGGAAGAGAGAAAGAGAGAGAAGGTGAGAGGCGAGGGGGGAGGGGGGGGAAGCGCAGTCCCGCTGACGAACCAGTGGCCAGCGCTTAAGATAAAGACGTCTAGCCTCTAGGTAATCCAGTATGTCTAGCATCCCAGGTAATCCAGGTATAACTTTACTTAGTTTTAAGGTGCCTCAAAACCAGGGGGTGAGTGTTGGGAGAGTGGCACACTCACGTTAACGAACCAGTGACCCGCGCTGAAGATGAAGACGTCCAGGTAATCTAGGATGTCACCCCATTTATCCCGGGGCGTATCCAGGTACACCTTCCACGCGCCCGAGCTCTTGGCTGCGCCCTGAGCGACAGAGAGAGAGAGAAGAGAGAAGAGAGAAGAGAGAAGAGAGAAGAGAGAGAGAGAGAGAGAGAAGAGAGAGAGAGAGATAAGAGAGAAGAGAGAAGAGAGAAGAGAGAAGAGAGAAGAGGAGAGTAGAGAAGAGGCGAAACAATTGAGACAGATGGGAGAAACCAAGCAGGACGAGGAAGAGAACGACAGGAAGCAGGGCCGGCGCTCCTAGGAAGCTCCAAATTTTACTTACAATGGGCTCCGCGTCGACGAGATAAACGGACGAGATGTGCAGGAAGGTGAAGTTATACTGCGCGACGCGGTACCCCTTCACGTCCGTGCCGCCGAACTCGCCAGAAAAATCGACCGTTGGCGCGTACGAGTTCAGCGAGCAGCGAATGGCGTTACCGAAATTGGACGAAAACGAGTCGCCCGCTATCGCGAACACCTTGTTGCGGTACCGGGAAAGAAACGCCGCTGGGTCAAGCCTGGCGGAAGGAGGGGGAAGAGGGGGGAGAGGGGGAAAGGGTGCGGGGGGGCGCAGGTGGGATGAGGAATTTGAGTTTTTTCGGGAGGGATTGGAAGGGGGGAAGCGGAGACAGCGGAAACGGGGGGAGCGGACGATGCGGAACGAACGGTAAAAGCGCCGCACTCGCAGTTATTCAAGGCATGGCTAATGCAACCGTCATTGTATTACATTCGTTACACTCCCGCACTCGTTAAAAGTCCCCGCTCACCGGGTAACGTCGCATCCGCGCGGCTGCCAGCGCCAGTTGAGGTACCCCGTGTCCCTGCGGCCGTTCTTCTGGCAGTTCTCGTTGGAACGAATAAAGGGACAAGTTTTACCCGAGTACAGGGCCTTGTTGGGCGAGATCACCCACCTGAGACGGCACACAGGCAGAGCAAGGAGAGCAGCGAGAAAGAGAGTGAGCACTGAGGTGGCACGTCTAAAAGTTGGGTTCTTGTAGTAGTTTGTTCAATTCGTTGAGCCGTAGAGCTTTTGATCCGTCGAGCCGTCACGCACTCGAGCGTTGCGATCTCAGCGTAAATTAGTACGCAGCGTGCGCTTCCTGATGCAAAAAAAAAAGGAGAAAAACAGCAAGATCATGTAACATTCAAACCGCACGCACCTTCCCTCCCCGAAGTCGCAGGTCGACTCGTCCTCCACTCTTTGCGCGCCAGTTTTCCCCTTGGGCTTGATGACCTTTCCACTGCTGCTGCCGCTGCTGCTACCGCTGCCGCTCTTTTTCGACGTCGTCTTGCTTTCGTTCGCCTTCTCCGTCCCCTTGTCCTTGCTCTTCGCGTCGCTGCTAGTCTTGCTGCTACTGCCGCTACTGCCGCTGCTGCTGCTCTTGCCGCTGCTGCTGCTCTTGCTACTATCCTTGCCGCTACTAGCACTCTTACTACTGCTCGCGTCGCTCGCCTTACTGCTCGACTTACTACTGCCCGCCTTGCTGCTCGTTCGCTTGGCTTCACCCACCGTCGCGGCATCGCTCAAATCCGTGCTCAGCGTATCGCTGAGAGCACCACGGTTCGAATGAGGACTGCTGGAAAGAGCGGCGCGCTTCCCCCTCTTACCCGCCCTAACCTTCCTCCACCGCCGTGTCTCTTGCTCCTCCTTCGACCACCACGGCCATTGCTCTCGCTCTTGCTTTCGGCCTTTCTCTTGGCCTTGCTCGCATCCAGCAATTCAATCGAGGCCTCGCCGGGATGGTCGCCGCTGGACAAGCTCCTTACCGTCGCACCGCGATCGTCAGATCCTGCGACGGCGCCGTCGCCGCCGTTCCCGCCTTTGTTGTCGCTGCCACCGAGCACATCACCGGTACTAGTAGCAGAAATAGTAGAGTCATTTATATTAGAACCTCTGGAAGATTCTGGTAGTCTGTCGAGGCGCGAATTGGGCAAGGATTCTTGCGCGCGCGCTTGATGGCGCTCGTTCAAAAGGAGAGCAAACCCCGCCGTGAGTATTAGAAGCACGCGGAGCAGCGTGAAACCCCCCATGTTTCCCGATGCGGGAGATATCGTGGAGGGGTGTCGCGGAGTGCAAAGGAGCTTAGAGAAATGTGGGCCTAGAATTTTGGGAGGAATCGCTTCACCGTCGCGCGCGCCTGGCGATGGTTAGCTGACGCCTGCTGCTCTGAAGAACTGTTGCGCGAGCTCACGAGCTGTGAGCAGCCGGTCTGAAGTCTCACTGGTGGCAAATCTTCGGCGTTGGTAGAAGGGTTAGCCGATAACACGGAGATAAAACGAAGGCTAGATAATAGCTGTCAACGCAACAAGTTCGTTCAAAATAAAGCCGAACCAAGCCGACGAGTGTTTCGCACCGAACGCCGAAGATGGTTTTGGGTGCTGGGCATTTGAGCAGAAATGCAAGCTCTGGAATTTCTGCAGACAAGTGAGACCTGGACGGTCCGTTGGCCTTGTACTGTTGTTGAATTTGTCTGTTGAAGGCGGTTCGGTAAATTCGAGCTGACAAGATACCACTACAAGGGCCAAAGGGCAGGTGGCGCTGGAGTGTGGTGGGGCAGATTCCGACCAAAAAATGGTTTACGGTGGAAGGAATCTGAAAAATGGGGCGGCGTTGTAATGAGCTTTGAGGGTTTAGGGTGCGTTCCTGGCGCGTGTCAAACTTCCGGCCAAACTTCGTGTTTTCCGAGCCAGGGGCAAATTTTTGAGGGAAGACCCGAAGTGGGGCGAGCTGTGGGGCGAGCTTCGTGTCATCCCGGGAAGACCGGAAGTTTGACACCAGCCAGGAACTCACCCTTAGTTGTTTAGTTGTGGGCGGTGAGGGTTCAACGAGAAAACGAGAATGCGGGAAACGAAAAAGGGCAGGGTGCACAAAAATCCCAGAAGATGTTGCAGTCGATCGCGACTGCGGTCGAGATTTCCTCCCCTGGCGTCGCAAATTTGAATTTCGCGGGGTTCCTACCGCGCTGGAACGGTCACCCTCTATTGGTTGCGATTGCTGCTGTCGCAAGATACCCTGACTTATGGAATGGGGGAAAAGTCGCCATATGATTTTGAATTGTCGGCAGGACCCAACATATGTACTCAATATTCTAACATACTTTAGCTTTCTCCAGATTAGAATGGTCGTGTTATGGGTGCAATGGAAGATAACGAGGATTGCACTAGGTTGGCAAACAAGTACAAAGTATGTGCAAAGGCATGAGCAAATACCTATGTGCGAAACATGCAAACAGTTACGCGGTGCGTGCGAGCTAGCTAGTGCTAGGCTGGCATCGAGGTTCGGGCTAGTCCCGAAGCGTAGCCGACACGGCTGGGCCCGGTAAGACTAGAAAGGTAATTACATAGATTTTTGGTGCTGAATGGCACTCTCTACACAACCTATAATTCCCACACCACTGCGCCATTATTCACAAACCACAAACGGATAATTACCCACACTTCCAGCTGCGCGGCTGGCACACTTGTGCCCGCACATTACGATGCCGTCTCAACGCATGCCTCTCCTATCCCAATCCCACCCCATAACAGAAAGCTGCGCACAACAAGCTGCGCACAGCCAGCTGCGGACAACAGCAGCGTGGAGTAGGGGACTCCCCGGGTTGCACCAGTGCGAGCAGTCCGTGCTAAGCCCGCCTGGGTAGTTCTGTCGATGCCCTCCATATTACTTCACCTCCCGCTCCACAGCACAACGCTCACCGCTCCCCTCACAAGCAGCTGTCACAGCAGCAGCATGGAGTAGAGGATATCAGCCCAGGTGTCAGGAACACCCGGGTTGCACCAGTGCGAGCAGTCCGTGTTGGACCCTCCCGTGTAGTTTTGCAGGTGCCCATCCGGCCGCATGAGCGAAAGGTGAGTAATATCCAGCATTCGGAACTGCACACTGCTGCTGCTGCTGTTGCTGCCGCTGCCTGAGGAGGGTGACGAGGGTGTGTCGGCGTCGCTGCCAGTCAGCAAGCTCCTGGCGTCGCCACGAACTCCAACCTCCTCCTCACCATCTTCATTCCTTGCTGCCTTGGTCGTCACCACCCTCACAGACGACCCACTGCTCCTCCCCTTACCCAGCCTTTCCTTGCTCATCGCCCTGCTTCTCCTGCTGCTGCTGCTTGTGCTCGTGGTGCTGGCTCCTGCTACTGCTTGTGCTCCTGCTGCTTCTCCTCCTGCTGCTTGTGCACCGGCAGTACCAGCAGCAGCAGGGGGGGAGGGGCTCCACGTCACGCCCTCAAAAACCTTCAACTGAACATCTACCACCGCGAAAGCATCACTAGACGTCTCGGCAGTCGCCAGCTCAGCAGCTGTAAAAGGCATTTTTGCACCCCTGCAGCTGTGCTTGGAGCCCTTCCCTCCATACGCCTCCTCGTAGTGAAACGGCGAGTAGGAGAGCATCACGGGTATGCCTCTGTAGTTGGACCGGATTATGTGGTCGCGAACGGTGACGTGCGCGATTTCCATGGCTTTAACTCCCGAGATGTTGGTCTGTTGCACGCCGTTGATGTAGTATTGGCGGAGATTGGCTGGTGCCTGGGGGGAGAGAGGAGAGGAGAGGAGAGAGGGGAGGGAGAGAGAGAGGGAGAGGAGAGGAGAGAGGGGAGGGAGGAGGGAGGAGGGAGGAGGGAGGAGGGAGGAGGGAGGAGGGAGGAGGGAGGGAGGGAGGGAGGGAGGGAGGGAGGGAGGGAGGGAGGGAGGGAGGGAGGGAGGGAGGGAGGGAGGGAGGGAGGGAAGGGAAGGAGGGAGTGAGAGGGCGTGCGGTGACTTTCGAGTCGACTCAAAAGCTCGACAATGCCTTTCATACCAACATGCCGCAAGCCCTTGATGGAGGATATTAGATGGTACTGGAGGGTGGAAGGAAAGGGGACGGATGGAGGGAGGGAGGGAGTGTGTGAGAAGGGCGTGGGCGAGAGAGTGCGGTGCGAGTGGAGAGATGCGGTGAGAGAAGGTGCGAGTGAGTGAGAGCAGTGAGTGGGGTGGACGCAATGGATAGGAGAGGCAGGAGTGCAGTCGATCAGGGGGAGATATAGGGAGAGAGGGAAAGGGAACTGGCGAGAGAAATTGAGAGCGAGACTCAGAGACACAGCGAGGTGAGAGAGAAATAGATAGAGGGTGAGAGAAAGTGTGAGTGAGAGAGGGGGAAGAGGGAGAGAGAGCGAGAAAGAGCGAGGGGGGGAAGAAAGAGCGAGGGGGGGAAGAACACACTCACGTTAGTAAACCAGTGACCCGCGCTGAAGATGAAGACGTCTAGGTAATCTAGGATGTCACCCCAATTAACCCGGGGCGTATCCAGGTACACCTTCCATACGCCTGAGCTTGAGGCTGCGCCCTGTGCAGTTGAGAGGGGAGAGGAAAGACAAACGCGTTTTGAGACGTCTCAAAACACCTGAGCTCGAGGCTGCGCACTGTGCAGTTGAGAGGGGAGAGGAACGACAAACGCGTGCGTTGGAAGGTGGAACGGGGGGAAGGTGAAGGGAAGGGAGATTGAAGGAGGGAGGGAGAGAGTGAAGAGGAGCTGGCCGGCGCTCGCTCGTGCGAAGCAAAACACCGATACTCACAATAGGGGCTCCGCGTCGACGAGATAGACGGACGAGACTTGCAGGACGGTGACGTTATACTGCTCCACTCGATACCCTGTCACTGCTGCTCGTATCCCTCACCTCCCTGCACCTTCCTGTACATAACCGCACCTCCCCGCACCTCCTTGCACCCCTCTGCACCTTGACTTACAATAGGGGCTCCGCGTCAACCAAGTAGACGGACGAGACTTGCAGGACGGTGACGTTACACTGCTCCACGCCATACCCCGCACCTCCCTGCACCTAACCACACCTCACCGCACCCCCTGCATCTCGACTTACAATAGGCTCGGCGTCCACAAGAAAGACGGCCGAGACCGCAATGACGGTGAAGTTATACTGCTCCACGCGATACCCTCTCACTGCTGCTCATATCCCCCACCTCCCTGCACCTCCTTGCACCCCTCTGCACCTTGGCTTACAATGGGCTCGGCGTCCACAAGAAAGACGGCGGAGACGGCAATGACGGTGACGTTATACTGCTCCACGCGATACCCTCTCACGTCCGTGCTCCCGAACCTGCCCCTGAACTCTCTCGTCCGCGCGTACGAGTGCAGCGAGCAGCGAATGGCGTTACCGAAGTTACCCGAAAACGAGTCGCCCGCTATCGCGAACACCTTGTTGCGGTACCGGGAAAGAAACGCCGCGGGATCAAGGCTGGCGGGGGGAGCGAGGGGAAGCGGAGGGGCCGGAGAGAGGAAGGTGGGGAAGAAGGGAAACAGTGAAAAAGAGGACAGCGGAAGAAGGAGAACGAAGAGGAAGAAATACAAAAAGGCTATGCACCCGCGGTTACTAATGGCACAATCGTCACAGTCCCACACTCGTTACAGTCCCACACTCGTTACAGTCCCACACTCGTTACAGTCCTCCTCACCGGGTAACGTCGCATCCGCTGGGCTGCCACCGCCAGTTGAGGTACCCCGAGTCACTCCGCCCGTTCTTCTGGCAGTTCTGGCTAGCGCGAATATAAGGGCAGCTTTTACCCGAGTACAGGGCCTTGCTGGGAGATATCACCCACCTGAGACCGCACACAGGGAGAGGGGGGCACGCGCGGGCATCAATTCAGAAAGTGGGTATTGGGTGCAAGAAACAGAACCCATCAGGCTGTTATTACCGCTCCGCTCGACTCGAGCGGAATGGTAACTGGGTCGTGGGAATGCCCCGCTTGGAAACTCAAGAGCGGAACGAGCGGCTTACCCAGTCAGCGTGCGATCTCAGCGTCTGCTCTCTGATACAATACTGGAGAAAAAAACACAGGAAAAAGAGGCAATCACGTTAAGAGCGTTACGCATCCCTCCGCGAAGTTACAAGTACTAGTCTCGCCGTCCGCACTTAGCGCGCTCGTTTTCCCCTTGGCCTTGATGAGCTCCCCGCTGCCGCCGCTGCCGCTGCCGCCCTTTCTCGCTGGCGTCTTGCCGTGCTTTGCCTTGGCTGCCTTGGTCTCCGTCCCCATCATCTCAAGACTCGAGTCGTCTTGAGCGCGCGCTTGATGGCACTCCATCGACAGGAGAGAGAACGCGGAGTAGCAGAGTAGCAGAAGCACGCGGAGGAGCGAGATGGCCCCCATGAGGGAGAAGTATGGAGGAGTATGGAGGAGTGTGGAGGAGTGTGGAGGAGTGTAGAGGAGTCGCTTCACTGCCACGCGCCAGGGCCTGGTGTTATGAAGGGAGGTTTTGAACAATTGTTGCGCGAGCTAATGAGCCGTGAGCAGCGCGCTGCTGCTCTCTGGTGTCAAATCTTCGTTGCTCTAATAAGACGGTTAGTCGACTGCATTTAGTGCGCCTCCGAGGCGTAAGAACAATGTAATATGGCGGTCCAAAATAAAGCCGACGAGTGTTACTACACGCAGAACCGTGAAGTGCTGTTGGGAGCTGGGGCATTCGATGGGAGCTCTGGAATAGCTACAATTAATTGGAGGGTCCATCCAACGTTGCGTTGGCATTAGATTTTGTCAGTGAAAAGCGGCTCGAGCCGATCGGGTTTGGGAAATTCGAGCTGACGGGGCTGCTAGGTAAGGAGAGGGACAGACAAAACGAGCACGGCAGACGGGGCTTCTGCGGCGTGCCGGTGCGTGCCGGCTGCTGCTAGGTCGGGCAGGTGGTGCTGACGTGTGGCTACGAAAGGCGGAATACGAAAAACAAGAATGCGGGAAACGAGAACGGGCAGGGTGCACCGAAATCGCAGACAATGTTGCAGCCGTCGCCACCACAGGGAGAATCGTCTACCCCTGGTGTCGCGCATTCGAGTTTTGCGTCTTTGTGCGAACCGGCGAGAGCGCCTCTCGGTGCGCAACTTGTTACCGCGCCAAAATGGTCACCAATGGAATGGCTCAACGAGTATCAACGATAATTGGCCCAATGGAATGGCCCAACCAGCGGTGCTGCTGTCACCACACCAGCCGGCATGTCATCAAACGCGAACCCCTCACATTCAAACCCTCGTTATGATAGGTGCTGCTCTGCTACTGTCAGCAAAGCAGCAGCCGGCACGCACCGCCTGCAAAGAAAACCAAGAAGATTAGCTACGCTTCGTATGCCCTCACTTGAATTTCGTTAAGAATCTCAAGAATGTTTAGCTACAGTTGGGCAAGTTGGGAATCGGGATTTTCTATTTAACGAAGTTAAGGTAAGGCAGGTTCTAAGCGATGGTTAGGTAGACTTCCTAAAGGTAGAGGTGTAGTAATCAATGTAGCAGATCACCCTCATGGAGATGGTGAAGGTCCCACTCATAACGACGTCGTAGGAAACATGCATAATATATTGTCAACCATCATAGTGCATAGTGCATTATAGGATAATACATTTGCAATGGCATTCACCTACCAAAATGGATGCTGCATGGCGCCATATTCTCACAATCTTTACAAACACCAGCTCTGAATATCACCACCTTCACACTATTCACATATTAGTTTCCCATCTGCTCCTGTCACTTCACCAAATTCGATTATCGTACTGCCTAACAGCTCACGATTCCCACGGACACCAAGCGATGCATTTCTCATGCGTAAATTACAGTTTCTAGTGCAGCAGGCCCCTGCAAGGCAAACCGTGCTCACACAAACTTGACCATGCCTCGGCCCTGCACGCTCACTTTCTCCGCTCGCAGGTTCTTGGTCTTGCCCTGCCTCAGCTTCTGCAGCTTCTTAACCACCTGTGCCACAGCACACCACCAGCAAACCGAATCAATACCAGTAAATACCTCCCCTCCCCTCCCCCCCCCCACCCCCCTCACCCCCCTTGCTAAAAACTCCCCTGCCCTGCCTCCCCTGCGACCTACTGCACTCCACTGCCCTCATGTGCCTTGCCCTGCCCTCCCCACTCATGTTTCCGTGTCTGGCATCCTTATACCCTGGCCCCAAAAGCCCTGGTACCAAAAGTCACGGCTCCACCCTCTCACCCCATTCCCATCCCAACCCCGCTGCACCTCCCTCTCTGATGTCTGGCAACCTCACTTCCAGAGCAACGAAGCGTCTCACAGCACGCACCTCCCATCCTGATCCCATTCCCAAACCAATTCCATTCCCAAACCAATTCTTACTCCCACTCCCACCACACCCCCATTCCCACCCCAGGGCACTCACGCTCTGGTGTCTCGAGTCCTTTTGGCCACGCCGCGCCAGCATCTCCTCGGTGACCTTGGACTCGGAGAGCAGCTGTCACTCAGCAGTCCATCGCCCCAGTCCCACCTCCCCTCATCCCCATTCCCACTCCTATTTCCCACCCCACGGCCCACCCCACGGCACTCACGCTCTGGTGTCAAAAGTCCTTTTGGCCGCGCCGCGCCAGCATCTCCTCTGTGACCTTGGACTCGCAGTGCTGACACTCACTCAGCCTTCACCACCCAATTCCCATTCCCACCCACCCCACTCCCATCCTACAGCACTCACGCTCTGGTGTCTCGAGTCCTTTTGGCCGCGCCGCGCCAGCATCTCCTCTGTGACCTTGGACTCTGGACGCACTCGGAAGTCCATGGCCATGGGCTGTGGCACGCGCGTCCTCATCCGCTTCTTCCCCGCCCCCTCCTCCTCCTCTCCCCTCGCCTCCCTGATGAGTGACACGTCAACAGCGCGGATAGGGTGTGGGGAAGGAGTGAGGGAGAAGCGGGCGGGCGTAGCGAGAGAGGACGGAGGAAGAGAGAGTGTGCGGGCAGGAGGGAGGGAGGGAGGGAGGGAGGGAGGGAGGGAGGGAGGGAGGGAGGGAGGGAGGGAGGGAGGGAGGGAGGGAGGGAGGGAGGGAGGGAGGGAGGGAGGGAGGGAGGGAGGGAGGGAGGGAGGGAGGGAGGGAGGGAGGGAGGGAGGGAGGGAGGGAGGGAGGGAGGGAGTGAGCGGGAGGAAGCGAGGGAGAAAGGGAAGGAAGCAGCAGCAGCAAGCAGCACGCACTGCAACACAAAAGCGTTCAGCCCGAAAAACCCCTTCAGCTTAACCGAAACTTTACCCACTGCTGCAACAATCCCAGGTCTGCTGATCCAGATCTTCCTCAGCGCCAGCCGAATCGGCCCGTGACTCACCCGGCGTTGTCTAGATCTAAGTCGTCAGGCCGTGAGTGCGACGACACATTTGCTGCCGCATCTTCCCTGCACACCGTAGCAAGCGCGAGGAGAAGGAAGGGTTGGTTGGATCAAACAAAAACATCATTTGCGCGAGGGTTTTAAAGATTTAGGGTTCAAGGTTTAGGGTTGAAATCTAGGTCACAGCAAGGCACGGGTGCGGTGACACATGAGCTGCTGCTGCAGGAGGGGAGTTGCAGACATGCACTGCCAAGAGTTGTGGTTTCCAACCCGTACGATATGATGCACCTACGTCTTGTCAATCAAGAGAATAAGAAGAGAATAAGAGAGGCAAACACTGGTTGATAGGTGCTTTGCTGCTTTCTTGCTTGCTATCGTGCTAACCTCTGTGAAGGTGGGGGCCGTGTGGGTCGATCATAGTCGTCCCTCAGGTCACGGTAGTGTGTGCTCTTGTCAAATATGGGCCGTGACTGCGGGGGGAAAGGGAAGGGGGGGGGGGGGGGGAGGAGGGGAAGAGCGCGGAGGAGGGGAAGGTGGGGGCCGTGTGGGTCGGTCGTAGTCGTTCCTCAGGTCACGGTAGTGTGTGCTCTTGTCAAATATGGGCCGTGACTGGCGGGAGGACGGGAGGGGTGGAGAGGGAAGGAGAGGAGGGAGGAGAAGGGGAGGGAAGGGAGGGAGGGGAGGTGAGGAAGTGGAGGGAGTGAAGAGGGGGGGAAGTGGGAGGGAGGGGAGGGAAAGTTGGAGTCGAAACAGCATCTGCACCGTCTGTTGTTGCCTGACACTTGAACAGGTCCTCCCTCCAAATCAAAAACAGCATCTGCCCTTACCAAACATGGAACACGAAGGGACAGGAAACAGCGAGCAGAAACAGGGAATAGATGGAGGAAAAGAAACGGAGAGCGCAACAGGAACAGTAAGCGCTGAAAACGCAGTCAATTCTCTCTTGACTGGGATATCACAACCTTCCTTCCACTCACAATAAGCACGTAATGGCTTCCTAACTCATGTGTACTCGTCTCTCAAGGTCACCCCCCTCAAAAGCCCCCCCCTCTACATCCATCATCCTCACCCGCCCGCAGCAAGCGCGCAACGCACTCACATGTCAACCAAATCCCTCGCGAGCTTTCTGTTCTCCTGTGTCCCCCTTTGTCCCCCATTCCCCGCCCCCCTTCCCTGATGCCCCCAGTCACCCCACGGCAAAGCAGCAACGCACCCACATGTCGACCAGGTCCCTCGCGAGCTTCCTGTTCTGCACCGTCTCTTCTGGGAGCTTGGACAGAAACATCACCACCTGGAGGAAGGAGGGGAAGGAGGAAGGTAGGAACGACGGAAGACAGATATGCGACGGCTTCAAAGTCACGTCGGCAAGCTTCCTGTTCTGCACCGTCTCTTCTGGAAGCTTGGGCAGAAACATCACCACCTGGAACGGGGTGAGAGCGGCGAGGGGGAGTGAGAAGGAGTGAACAATGAGGGGGTTTTGGGGGGGGTTGAAGGGGGTGAGAAGGGTGAGAAGGATGTGAGCGGTGAGGGGGTGAGGGGGTTTGTTGAAGGGGGTTACAAGGGTGAGAAGGGTGAGGTAGGTCACCCCAGAAAGAGTGAGAGATCGCAGCAAAGAGGGCAGTTAAATCAGAACGAGAGGCGAGGAGGACAGAACCGGGGTCCTCACACACACACTCACTCCCGTCACCCAGACCAGCCAACTTTCATAGAAGAAAGCTCACAGAGGGTGCTTCCATTGAAGAGACAATCCGCGATTGAAGAGACGATCCGCAACGCGTAAAGAAATAGCCCTCTCAACGCAAAGAGGCTGCGTTCAACTTGGCACAATCAGACACTCAGTGCATGAAGACTCCTTTTCCCACACTCACCCTCCCACCCAACTCTCCCACCTCACGCCTCTCCCTCACACTCACCCGGCCCAACCCGCTCTCCTTACGCTGTCTTCTCCTCTCAGGAAAAGACACCATGTTCCCAGCCTAGCTCGCTCGCACTCACCTATCCCAACCTCCTGCCTCCCTCACACTCACCCGGCGCCCAACCCGCTCTCCTTGAGCTGTCTTCTCCTTTCCCGCCCCCCTCTCCTCCAACGTCTATTGGTAGCTGTGCACACAAGGAGGGGGGGCGGGGAGGAGAGGGCAAGGCAGCCGCCGCAACAACAGAGGATGGGGGGAGGGAGGGAGGGAGGAGAGATTTTATTCCTTTCCGGGTTGATAACTGTGCACACAAGAGGAGCGAGAGACACAGGGAGGGGAGGAAAGGGGTTGTTGGGAAGACGAGGGGTGGTGATCGAGGAGGAGGAGCAAGGGGGAGAGGACGGAGGGAAGAGGAGGGGAGAATGGAAGCAGCCAGAGGTATATTAGAGTGGAAAGATGGGGTGGATGAGCAAAACAGTGAACTTCAGGAGTTCACTTCTTGGAGCCCCCACTTACCCTCTCCTCCCCCTTTTCCCCTACCACCTCCCCTCCCAGCCCCCCTCCCCTCCCCTCTCCCCTCCCTCCCTCCCTCCCTCCCTCCCTCCCTCCCTCCCTCCCTCCCTCCCTCCCTCCCTCCCTCCTTTCCCCCTCCCTCCCCCCTTCCCTCCCCTCACGCAGCTCCTTCACGAGTTCCAGGATGCTGGTGCGGATCTTGATGTTGGGCAGCGACAAGTCAGGCAGCGCCTGCCACACAGACACACCCACTTACATCCTTCCCCAACTTTCCCACCCCCTGCCCTCCCTCATCCCCTTCCCCATCATCAACCCCCCCCAACGCACCTCCTTCACGAGTTCCAGGATGCTGGTGCGGATCTTGATGTTGGGCAGCAACAAGTCAGGCAGCGACTGGTCTGGCAGCGACAGCTCCGCCTTCCTTCCTCCTCACCTACTCATCCCTCTCCCATGACGACTCACCCACCTCCCCCAACGCACCTCCTTCACGAGTTCCAGGATGCTGGTGCGGATCTTGATGATGGGCAGAGACAGGTCAGGCAGCGACTGGTCTGGCAGCGACAGCTCCGCCTTCCTTCCTCCTCACCTACTCATCCCCCTCCCAAGACAACTCTCCCCCCCCCCCCTCACCTCCTTCACGAGTTCCAGGATGCTGGTGCGGATCTTGATGTTGGGCAGCGACAAGTCAGGCAGCGGCTCCAGCCAGTTCTTGAGGTACGAGAACACACCGCGGTCCAGGAACTCGCGCTGCAGATGCTTCCTGGGGGGAGGTGGGAAGGGATGGGAAAGGGTGGGAACGGGTGGGAATGGGGTGAAAAGGAGAACGAGGGGGCAGGGACAAGTCAGGCAGCGGCTCCAGCCAGTTCTTGAGGTACGAAAACACGCCGCGGTCTAAAAACTCGCGCTGCAGGTGCTTCCTGAGGAGGAGTGGAAAGGGGTGGGAAAGAGTGGGAGGGGGTGGGAAGGGGTGGGAAGGGAAGGGGTGGGAAGGGGTGGGAGGGAGGCAAAAGGGCGAACGAGGGGGAGAGATTAACGACGGTTCTTGAGGTACGAGAACACGCCGCGGTCTAAAAACTCGCGCTGCAGGGGCTTCCTATGAAGGGGAGAGACGGAGAGAGAGAGGTACGCAGGGGCAGTGCCATTGCGTATTTCTGAGGCAGTCAATACTGAACCCCACAGCAGCCTCGCTTCGCTTGCACCATGTGAGGACACCTGGAACATCCCACGCTTTCAGGCAGCATCCCAAGGGGTTGCTTGCTGACCACTGGAACTCCTCCACAAACATTTTTTAGGCGCCTCAAAAGTCGTCTCATGTTATGAGGCGCCTCAAAAGTCATCCCAAGGGGTGCTGACCACTGGAACTCCTCCACAAACAGCGCCTTCTCCATGAGCGAGACACCCTGCGTGCTCCCACCCACTGCCCTCCTTCCCACCCCCTCTTCCCCTTCCCCCGACCCCCCAACCCCGCTCAGAACCCCCAGAACCCCGCAACCCCACCCAGATCCCCCCAGAACCCGCCCAGAAACCCCCCTTCTCCCCCCAATTCCTTACTTCCCAAGCGTATTGAGCATCTCCGGCAGCATCCTGAGCTTGTTAATCGCGGGGCGGTGCTGCCTGTTAGCATGAGCGTCGTCCTCGGCGGCCTTGAGCATCTTGGCGTGGAACTCCTCCACAAACAGCGCCTTCTCCTCTCCATCACGGGCGCACCCTGCCTGCCCCCACCCACCCACTGCCCTCCCTTCCCATCCCTTCTTCCCCTTCCCCCAACCCCCAGTACCCCGCCACCCCGCCCAGAACCCCCCAGAACCACGCTTTCCCCCCAACAGCCTCACTTGCGCAGGGTGTTGAGCATTTCCGGCAGCATGCGCAGCTTGTTGATGGCGGGGCGGTGCTGGCGGTTAGCATGAGCGTCGTCCTCGGCGGCCTTGAGCATCTTGGCGTGGAACTCCTCCACAAACAGCGCCTTCTCACCGTCGCTCATCTCGTTGCGCCGCCGCTTCCCGCCCTTGAACAGCCGCCCCACCTCGTCCTCCTCCTCCGCCTGCGGGGGGGGGGGGGGAGAGCGGGGGAGGAGGAAAAGGGGAATGCGATGCAGGGAGCATGGGGCGGAAGGGGGAAAAGGGATAAATACTGGGAAAGGAAACAGCCGTTCGCTGTTGAGAATCCTCACAAGCATCTATCTCGTTGCGCCGCCGCTTCCCGCCCTTGAACAGCCGCCCCACCTCGTCCTCCTCCTCCGCCTGCGAGGAGGAAACGGAGGGGAGAGTGTGATGCAGCACGGAGATAAAACGGGAGACGGATTAAGAAAATAAAACGAGTTTCTGAACAGCCGTCCCACCTCGTCCTCCTCCTCCGCCTGTCCATTGGAAGGGACTCCCAAAGGGAAAAAAAGAATAAAGAAAACTCTACAGAAAGGGTCGACTCAGAAGTGGGTCCACACATCCTCCCAAATCCCCCCCAATTCCCCCCCAAATCTCCCCCATATCCCCCCCAAGTCCCCCCTCTCCCCCTCCCGATCCCAGATCTCTCCCCAATCCCCCCAAATGCCCCGCAGCCCCACACAACCTCCCCCAATCCCACCTGCGGCGCGTTGGAGATGCGCTGGTCGTCGTACTCGTCGTACCCCATGGCGTGCCTGTCGTCCGGGTGCACGCCCGCGTCGTCGATGAACGCGTCGTCCTCGCCCGTGCGCGCGCCCTCCACGTCCTCCTGATGTGCCGCGCAAGGGGCGGGAGGGGGGAGCAGCGAGAAGGGGGAGCAAGTAGTAGGCGAGTGGGCGGGAATGGAAGGAGAATTGACGATGACGGGGAATTCGTGGAACGACGGGAACAGACGGAAAGGGATAGGAGCCAGGGACGGACGGGATACGGTGCAGAAGTGTGCGAAGAGGGCGAAGTGTGCGAAGTGGGCGAAGTGTGCGGAGGGCGGGGGAGGGTGGGAGTCAGCAAGATGAACACGATGAGTGGAGCACAAAGTGATGGGAGGGGACGAGGGGAGGAGGGGGAGAAGTAGCGACGAGATGAAAGAGGGAACGAAGCAGAACAAAGAACCGAGAGGGACACAGTAGTAACGTCCGTCCTAGTCATCTACTATTTTCGCCTACTTAAGAGTAACGTTCGGCCACAGGCCCTGCCCTCTCAAAAAACGGCTGCCCTGCCCTCTCTCCACAAGCTTCCCTCTCCTCGTGTCTACGCCTCCTTTCTCCCCCTCACCTCTGAATTCGCCGGTCCCTGGTCCCACGTCTCTCTCCCGCCTTCCTCATACCCTCCCGCGCCTCCCCCGCCGCCCCACTCCTCCCCGCCTCGAGCTTAACCTTTGTCAGCCTCCCCCCCGATTTCCGCCCCTCCTTGCCCTTCTTCCGCTTCCCCCCTTTCCCCCTATCCCTCCGGTCCCACGGGTCCGCCCCCCCCACTCCCTCTCCGCCATCGTCTTCCTCCCATCGCTCCTCCTCGTCCTCCCTCCCCCCGCCGCCGCCTTTTTTCACGAGCCGCCTGCCGCCGCGATCGTCGGGCTCCTCGTCCTCGAAAAGCCGCGCGTCGTAGTACGCGTCGTCGTCGTTATCGTTGCCGCCACCGTGGTCGTTGTCGTTACCTCCGCCTCCTGCGTCCCCAGCTCCTTGCGCGTCCGCGTCGCCATAGTCGTCAAAGTCCACTAAGGTTGGGTCGACGCGACCGTCGTCACCATGCTGGGGGCTGACGTAAGATAAAGAAGACGTAAGATAAAGAAACGGTTGAGAGATAGGAATCCGTTAGCAAAACAGTAACAGGTTAAGCGTGCATAGGAATAGTCGAAGAAACGGGATAAGACGGGGAGGGAGTGGGAGGGAGGGGGGACGAGGGAGCGGGCGAAGACCAGGGAGAGAGGGTTGACGGATCAACCTTGTGTCTGTTGACTATAGCTGAAGTTAAGGTTTTCTCAAATCGATTGAACACGAGAACGGTAAATGAAGCGAGCCTACGGTCGAAACGCATATTATTAGCAAACCAAGCTCAGAAGAAGATACAAAAGAACATTAGAGTCACAAAGGGAACTTGTCGTGGAGGGTGATGCGCACGTACCTCGCCATGCGGGTAGAGTGACCAAGTGTTGTTGGCTGAGGGTTGCGCGGCTCTAACTAACCCTAACTCGTTCGGAAATGTTCGCAATTGGGGTTTGCAAGTTGGTGTGTTTCGATATTTGAATGATGAACGTGATGGGAGGGACGGATGGATTGATGGGGCTGCACTGTAGATGAGGGGGGGAGGCTCTGGTATGGATGGGGGAGTGATGGATGAATGGAAGATGGGACGGATGGGCGGGCACGAGGGAGGCTGGTCCGACGAATCAGGCCTGGTCCGACGAATATTAGGCCGCAAAACGAGGCTCGCGGTTTGATTCGACGGATCATAGAAACCCCTGCAATTTTGCCTGGCGGACTTGCAAATCTGCCCGGAACAAGGCCGACCAAATCAGCTCCGACCTGGTTATGTGGTAACCAGTTGCTGTACAGCCTGGTCCCCAAGCTGGCTCACAGCTCGTCTAACCCAGACTGCGAGCTGGACCGCCTTATCCACGGAGGACTATCGCCCGTTTGGGCTATGAGTGACACGCCCTGAATATGGATGGATGGAAGGAAAAAAGCCCAGTTTCAATCCTCCATACAGGCAGTTTCCCCTTCCCTCTTTTGACAAGCGGTCCAAGTTGATCCTTATAGCGTGTCCAAGTTGAGTGCTGCTACTATGTGGGATACATAGAATGTACTACAAGCACAGCGTATAGATAAGTCCTGCGTCATCTAGTATCGAACTTGCATTTAATTCTGAAAGAAAAAGCGCGCGAATGGCAGTCTAACGCTGCCACGTAATGCTTCACATTAAATGCCGAATTTGTCCACCTCGAACGTCCTACCCATAGACAAAAATCGCCATCACTCCCAGTTGATCCGCTGGCCGACTAGTGTGTCCAGCGCAGCAAACTTCGGGATGAGGTGAGTCGCACGTGGCACCAGACACTTTTCGATTTGCGGCAAGGATCAACCAACCAATGCCACGTAGCCTATTCCTAGTGGCGGTTCATCTGGAGCTTTGGGCGAGCCGCCGCAGTCACGTCACTTCCATTTTTTCCGTGAAATTCAGCCAAAGCTTGCCGCACCGCCCGCAGATTCGCCGTATGTGCGCTGGTTTACCCCTCCCCGCTGGCACAAAGCTTTCGCTGTTTCGTTTGTCTGCTTTTCTCTGCCGTAGATCTGAGGTGTGTGGAACGGGGACGGACGGAAGCGATGGCATTCTGGAAATAAAAAGCTGTTTGCGGCTTGTCTTATCCTCTCCATGTGCTGGTTTCAGAGCGATATTTTGGCGTTTCTCTCAACTGTACATTCTTTATCTTGTTTCAGGTGTGTTTCGCAAACAGTTGGGTTTCGGTCAAAAGAAAACCTTTTGAAAAGCCACTCCGATCGTGTGCACTGAAATTCCCACGCTCATTGCAGAGGTAACTCGAGCCCTCCCTGAGCAGATCTAGTCCTAAAACCCCATGCCACGATCTCTGTGCGCGCCCGCACATGCGGGAACTGTCAGTCAGCCAGTAGGTGGCGCTTTCGGGCGCGTTTGCTCGCCTCGCGGCGCCACGGAGGGATGGCTTTCTTCCTGCGTACGTACCCGTTCCACGCATCAGGGCCACCTCGTGCGTGAGCTCGCACGACAGGCTCCACAACCAGTTTTCCTCGTGTGCACGGAGGTGCGCGCTGTGCGCCCCCGTGTATGAAGATGCAATGTGTGCGCTGGAGTGAGGTCAAGTGGTAGTCAGCTCAACCAACCTTCAACCACCGAGAGCTATTAGCTTCTAGATCATTCGTTGTTTGCTCATCTTTCTTTCCATCCCACAACCCGCTGCTTGTGACCACCAACTGCTTTCCTTTGACCCATTTTACACGTCGAGCCTTCTTTCCTCCGTCCCATCTCGCTAACTTGTCTCGACTTCTCCCATCCTCGTGCGTCTCTTCCATCCTGACTTATCAATTCTAATAACTTCACCCTGCCGCACTTCTAGTTTGAAACCGAACATCGCACCGCTGGTCAGCAGAGCTTCGCACCGATTTCCATCCCCGCAGTGTCAACCCTCCCGCACTTCACGGCCTCATCGTCACTCGCGCCTTACCGAGAAGACAGCACTGAAAGTTGTCCACTTCTCCGCCTTCACTTGTCGCGGCGTGTAATTAGCAGCTCTCATTCTTTAAAGCTCTTTCTTAGTCCTCCCATCCCCGCTCTCCAAGCACCGAAACTAGGCGCGCTTCTCCGCTGCACGCGCGGGCTCGCCACAGCGCGCGTCGCGACGGTGCGCAGTCGGGACTTCTCTACTCGGCGCGCTTCGAGTTCTCTAGCATCCACTTCCGCCCATGGGTTCTGAAAACGGCCATAGCGGCCAATTCCGCGCGCCGCACCTTCCGCCCTCTTGCCTAAGCACTTCGTCTAGTACGTCTTCTTCTGTTTCTGCTGTTGCTGCTCCTCCCGCTTTCGTCGCCGCCAACACCGCGAGCAGCGGCAGCGGCGTCTGGGGAGCGGACATGCATCCGTCCACGGGGGAGTTTCCGCAGTCGTTCTCCTCCCAGCACTCCGCGCTTCCGGTGGCACCCTTCCCGCCGCCATTCCCCGCGCCCCTCGCCGCGCGCATGTTCCCCGCGCAGTCCATCTACCGCCCAGACTTCACGCAGTCGGACCGCTACTACCCCGCCGCCGCGAGCCGCTGGGGCGGCGGCGCGTTTGCGTCCGGTGACGATTACTACGACGGAATTGCGGAGGAGAACGAGGGCGAATGTAAGCGCGCTATCCAGTGACCTTTCCGCTGCGTCTCGTCTCGTTTCGTCGCGTCGCATCGGCCTCGTCGCGTCGCGCCCCGTTTGGTGATGTCTCGTCGCCTCGCGTTGTCGATGTCCGTCGATTCACCCAGCTCGACATTCCATGACGTGTCCCTATCGTTGTCGTTGCGTGTCGCCACGTGTCGTTACGTGTGGTTGCAGGGGCGGAAGACGCTCTAGACACGTACATCGACAGCCTGGATAACCGCGACGGCGGCGCGCTCGGTCCCGGGTACTACTACGACGGGCCCGCAGCGGCTTGTAACGAGGACATGGAGCTCGAACCGCCTGCGTCGGCGACTTTCAACTGGACCCGTGAGTCTGCGTCCCCTCTGGGCCCCAAGCCGGCCTTACCGCCGCCGTCCGATTCCCGCTGGAACTGCCCTCTCGCTCCCCCGTTCCCTCCCCTCCGTCCGTCCGTCCGTCCGTCCATCCCGTGTCGCTTCGAGCTGTCCGTCCGTTTCAGATCCGTGCCCAATCTCTCCTCTTTCCCTCGCTCCCTGTCTTTCCTGCCCTCCTTCCGTCCCTCCGTCTCTCCGCCCCCTTTGGCTCTCCGTCGTTCTCGTCTCTCCACTCGAGCAGAGATCGAGGAGTCGTGTCAGCGCATGGAGGAGCAGCACATGCGCATCATGGAAGTCGACCTCACGTGCATCGGCGTTCCCGTCCGCTCCTTGGTCCCTGCGTCCCGCCAACCCTTGTCGATCCATGCCCAATCTTTCCTTCCCGTCCCTCCGTCCCTCTGCCCCTTCCGCCGCTCTGCAGAGATCGAGGAGTCGTGTCAGCGCATGGAGGAGCAACACATGCGCATCATGGAGGTCGACCTTACGTGCATCGGCGACGGCAACGGCGGCGAGCAGGTGCTCTACGAGTTCACCTTCGAGGAAACCGACGACTACGCTGCTGCTGCTGCTGCTGCTGCTGATGATGATGGTGATTCAGGTGCTGCCGACGGTACTGTTCCTGCTGCTGCTGCTGCTGCTGCTGCTGCTCCTGCGGCGGTTGCTGCTGCTGGTGCTGGGAACGCAGCAGCTGGAGGGGATGAGAAGCAGACTGGGGGAGGGGACGAGCTGCCTTGGTACTACGGACGCGAGGGCGAGAAGAGCGCCGGCGGCAGTAGCGGGAACAGCAGCGGCAACAGCAGCGGAAGCAACAGCAAAAGCAACAGCAGCAGCAGCAGGAGTGGCAGCGACAGCATCAGCGCAGGGCAGCTGAGTATGGAAGGAGTGAAGGGAGCAGTGGTTGCAGACGGTACTGCTGATGCTGCAGGAGGCTCCGCTTCTGGTTCCCCCAAGACTGTCCTACCAGTGCCAGTGCCGCTGCCTGTGCCGAGTAGAGACTCGGTGTTTTCCAGCCACGGTCGTAGGAGTGGTGGTAGTAAGAGCACCGGCGGCGGTGCAAGCAGCAGCACGATGCTGAGTGGCCTGTTCCGTAACATCAGGCGCCGCTGCTCTGCTGCTCTCTTCTCCCCGTCGTCGTCCTTCTCCTCTACTTCCTCCACCTCCTCGGCAGCAGCAGCAGCTGCGGCTGCTTCTGCTGCTGCAGTGGCGCATGCTACTGGTGGCAGCAATGCTTCCGCTGCACCTCATGCAGCCAGTAGGCTGAGCAGTGAGGCCAAGACAGCTCAGGGTAGCATCAAGCAGAGAGTGTTTGGGTCGGCTACAGGCAGGTGGAGGCGCAGCAAGGGACCCAGGCTCCAGCGCTGCAACAGCCTCACGTAACTAACTGCCTGGTATAACCGCCTGCAATGTGTTCTACAATTGCGGTGTTTACGTCAGCTCGCTTCCCCCTCTTCAGTTGCCCTGTGGAGCTCTTTCTTGCGATTCCACCACCGTGCCTCTGCGGAATATTTCTCGCAATCTCTTCTGCAGCTGATATGTTTTCCCAGGGCAACCATCCCAATTCAAAGGAACGCCGTCCTCAACCGGCTAACGTTTGTTCAGCATTCTTTCGTCAAGTCTCGCGCCTGCGAGCCCAAATTCATTCATCCTCCAGTGGGCCTTGAAGTTGAGGCCCAGAAGAAAATGGCTGAGCGTTTGGCCGCTTTTCTGGTGCTGACAGCTGGCTGATCCTGTACCGCTCCTACGAGGGCGAGGCCATGGTGTCAGCATCAGGTTTCAAGTCTTCCTTCAAAATGTGCCTGCTTCTAGTTTGCCCTTTTTTTCCCCAAGCATGCGACTGTTGTGCAGGGTAGAATTGTATTGGTTCTATACTTGCGCTGAATGCATGGTTGGGTTATTTTATTTCTAGCTGCTTTCTGCATAGTTTGCCTGACGAGTTCATGTAAAGATGGATATTGTGTGTTCAGCAAGCCTAGGTTCTGGTTTATATAATATATAAACATTGTCATAATAACCCAATCGTACTCAACCAGGACAAGGCGGATTCCCAGCCGCATGAAGAGGACTTTCCAGACCACGAGTTGCCATCAGCCGTCGATGTGAAGACCGATAAGCCGTCAGATCATGAGACCAAAAAGTGAGCAACCACCACACGCCCCCACTAACTTGGCGGCCCGCATGATCAAATCGTGCCCTGGCCACATGAAGCTGAAGGTTCCCTTCGCCAAACAACCGCAAGCGAGCCACGTTTTCGTTCCAAACCAAACAGCCTCGCCGCCGCTCTCCCCATCAAGCCACGAATCGCGTCGAGCCCGGAGGACAGCTTCGGCCCGAACCAAGCTAGCCCAAAGTTTGTTTCTGCCCGGATATGCCCTCCTTTTCTGTTTATCACGCAAATATACAGCCTAGGAGTTTTCAACAGTTCATGTCAGCTATGTTCCGTGGACACATTTCCATACTTGTGATACACAACACTCTTCTTTCCCATCAAACAACCTGTCTACCCTCGGAGCCCGTTGCCTAGCTAATCCCCAGGCTTTCCTGCCGAACCTGCTACATAAAGCTCGTGCTTCTGCTGCTTCTGTTTCAACCGTGCCTTGCTGGCTTTCCTACCTGATCACATCCTTTTCGGATTGGCCTGAAGGAAGGCCTATTCACGATTGCGATCCTGTTTTCTCTCTCGTGGGAAGCGTAAAAACCGGGAGAAAGGAGTGGAGAGCAGAAGGTGCATTTGATGCCTCTCACGTGCGTCTGCTCGTGCTTCCGCCTCTCACCTTCTCTGCTCGCATGTGCTGGCTGGCGGCTGGACGATTTCTACGTTGGAATGGGGAGCCTCGGTGGAGCCTGAAATTTGAGGTTGACTTGAGCTGACTAGCCATGGGGGACAGTGTCCGTTCCGAAACTGCGCAACGGCAAATCTCCCGAGACAACCTTGCACGATTCGCGCTCCCGTGATTTTCGACTTTCGTTCATACCTTTTGTTGTTTTTTCCTGGAAAGTGGAGAATTTGTACGTGATTTTTTTCCGGCGATTTGCTCTTCGCAACCGCTACTCCTGTCTCATCCCTCCTCACTACTAGTGGGGGCTTAGTAGGCGCCAAGTTTTGTGTTACCAGTGAAAGCAGCGAACCCAGGCCTTTGTTCTCTACAATGGATGCGGCTTCTCCTCCGGGACGCGCCGATTGGCTCCATGGCGTGTACGACGAAACCACTTCGGTTCCATCCGCCGCATTGGCCGCCGTCGAACCCGCTGATGATGATTCCACCAGTTTTCCTACTTCAGGTAACAGCATCATCGACCCCGATATGGACACTCCGTTAACGGATCCCTTTCTAACGGATTCTCATCCAGTAGTAGCGCGTGCTCTTCAAGATGAGAACGAGTCGCTCGTGTCGGTGGTCGAGCAGCAGCATCAGTCCATCGCGGCGCTGCGGCAACGCGCGATGACGGCGGAGCGCGAGAAGCGGTCGCTTAAAGACGAGGTGGCGCTGCTGCGAGAGGCGCTCGCGGCGCGCGACGAGCAGATGGAGAGTTTGGCGGCGCGGGTGGAGGAGACCGATGAGGAGCAGGAGCTGGAAGAGCAGGAGAGGGCGAAAGACGCGGAGGGTGAGGGCGAAGCGCAGGCGGCGGATGGGATCTCCGCGCAGTTCGCGGTGAGGAGTAGAACCGGCAACCGCGCGGAGGATATTAGCGGGATTCCCCTTCCCCTGGGAGCAAGAACGCGGGCGAGAGAAGGAAGTGTTTGCGGCGGTGGCGGCGGTTTCGGCGGCGGTAGCTGTGGCGGGGAGGCGTGGAGAGAGGAGGAAGGGGAGCAGAAGGAGGTCGTGTGCGGGTACCATGGGTGCGGAGATGAGAGGGGGTCTTGTGGCCTGGATGGCGTTTCTTGTCGTGGCGTGAGGAAGGGTGCAATTGGCCAATGCGGCGGGGCGACCTTGGGCGGTAGAGTTGACGACTCAGGGAGCGTTGATGATCTGTCTTGCAGCAGACGTGTTGGTCGACTCAGTGTGAAGACATTCGGGACTTGCTGGGAGCAGGGAGAAGTGGAGAAACGTCCAGGTAGCTGCCTCAAGTGTGAGAGACAGGGGGGAAGCGTGGCGAGCCGTGACTGGCATGACTGGCAGCAGTGGGACCATCGCAGCAGAGATTCTCGCGGTTGTTGGGAGACAGATGGTTACACTCCCCGTGATGACCACTGTGGCAAGCAGGCGCTGCACTTTCCGAATCAGCTTCCCAACCGGCTCCTGCCAAACCAGCTTTTTCCGCACCACCTTTCGCCGAACCAGCCTGGGCCAAGGCATCAAGGGCATTGCCTGGCTCGGTCCTGCAGCAGCATCAGCAACAGCAGCTTCGCCAGCAGCAGCCGCTACAGCAGATGCAGGCCGGAGAGGCAGGAGAGGCAGGAGGGGCAGGAGATTCCAAGTCTAACAAGAACCTTCAGCCATGGCCCCTGGCACGATGCACTGCATGGCTCTGAATGCAGTGAGACGCCCAGAAGAGGGAGTTACATGGCTTCACCACGCCATGCTTGTAGCCATGATGACACCAGCCAGTACCACCAGTGTCACCGGGAATGTCAGCACCAGAATCATCTGCATCAGCATCAGCAGCATCAGCAGCAGAATCAGCGCCGCCAGTCTCAGCACGAGTATCAGCCTCAGTGTGACGGTTCTGGTCTGCAGCCTCAGCACAATGGTGCTTTCCAGGGTACCTGCACCCAGTGCCTCGCCTGCCCTCCTCCCGCTCCTCCTCCACTGTGCTCCGTATCCTCTATCTGCTCTCATGGTTCTCATGCCTCCCATGCATCCCATACCTCTCGTGCTTCACATGCCACGCATGGCTCTGCTTTCAGCACGGCTCCCGTCAGCCCTGTGTCTTCGTGTGCATGTTCTCAGTGCGCTGCTGCTCTGTTCTGCAACACCCCCGGCTCAGCTGCTGCTGCAGGCTGTGCCGCTGTCGCCTCTTCTGCCGCCTCTGTGCCATGCACTCCCGTGCATGTGAGGGAGAGTCTACAGCAGCAGCAGCAGCAGCAGCAGCAGCAGCAGCAGCAGCAGCAGCAGCAGCAGCAGCAGCAGCATGGGCAGTTTTACCAGCAGCAGCACCAGCTGCAGCATAAACACCAGCAGCGAGAGCAGCACGAGCAGTCAGGGTTGCTGCGCTCTTCTCTCCTTGGCTCAGACTCAACGTCCTATTCTGCTGCCGTTACCGCCACCTCCGCTGCTGCTGTTGCTAGAGCCAACTCTCACGTGACTCCTACTATTAGTGTTTTACCTGTCCCACGATCGTTGGCACCAGTAGGAGGAGCAGGTGAGGAGGAGTCAAGAGAAGCGATTCAAGACGCTCTGTGTGTGCTGCAACATGAAACAACGGCCCTGCCTCCCTCCCTCCCATCTCACCCTAACACCTCCTCTCTCCACTCAGCCTACTCCCTTCCCTTACCATACTCGGCTGTCGCTGCTACCCTCTCCTCCCCTGCTGGCGGTGCTGCTGTGACTGCTGCTGGGTCTTTGGTTGCAGACCCTGCTGCTGCCGCTGCTGCTGCTGCTGCTGCTTCTGCTGCCGCTGCTTCTGCCGCGGCTGCTGCTTCTTCTTCTGCTTCTGCTGCAGCAGCTGCTGTGGACCTACCAGTATCAGCCGTGTATTCGATGCTGCTGCAGCACCAGCAGCTGCTGCAACTGCTGCTCGTCCGAGACACATTGCTAGCCACCACCACCCCTGGCAACACCCTCCTCGCTCCCGCTTCTGTCACTCCTGCTACTGTGACGCCTGGTACTGTCATTCGGAGTGCGGAGGGTGTCAGTGGGTGGGGAGGCTCTGGGGTGGGGGTGGAGAGTGTGCATGGTGCGATGGTGGAGATCTGGAGTAGGGAAGAAGGAGAGGGAAAGAGAGGGGGGTGTGGTGAGGGGAGGGATGGGAAGCACCAGGAGAATCTGGTGGGCTGCGTGGGGAGTAGTACCAGCAGCAGTAGCATTGGTAGTGGAAGTGACAGTGGCAGTGGCACCGGCATTGGCGTTGGCAGTGGCAGCAGTGACAACGGTCGGAGCACGGATGGTGGTGAATGTGCATGGTGGGAAGGAGGAGGGCAGCAGACCAAGAGCTGCAGCAATAGCAGTGGCGCCAGCAGCGGTATGAAGTGTGATTCTGTCAGCAGTGGTGGCGGTGTTGGCAGTGGCAGCAGCAGCAGCAGCAGCAGTGGGATGGATGGTAGTGCAGGGGAGTTGCAGCTGCTAGGAGGAGGCTCAGATGTGTATGAACTGGCAGCAACTGGTATGCAATGTGGTGGGTCGGAGAAGAAGGGTTTGGAGGGGTTGGAAGGTAAGCCGACGGGACAGCTGAAGGGATCGACAGTAGGAAATATGAGAGGGTCTGTTGGCTGTTGTAACACGGTTGGTGTTCTGTCAAAGGATGATGGGTTTAGTTCTCGGGGCCTGCAGTGCGTAATCTCTCCACATTCCAGCATTGAGCAGGTTCGGGTTTGCGGAGCGGGTGGTAGCCCTCGTGCCCGTGCTGCTGCGGCTGCCGCCACTGCCGCTGCTGCTGCGGCATCGGTGGCAACTTCCTTGTTTGGTTCTGCCCCTGCTTCTGGAACTGATACTGCGGTTTCTGGGAATACTTCATTTCCTCGAATTGCTGGGGTCTTGGGCTGCGGAGTGGGGGTGGGGCGCCCAGAGCTTATTGGAGGAAGGGAAGGGAGTGATTTGGCTGGAAGGAGCAGCAGCGGCACGTGGGCTGTTCCCCTGTGTTTTGGTGCTGCTGGCGGGGTTGCTGCTGTGTCCTGCCTTTGGTTAGCAACTGTAGTTGCAGGCCGGAAGGCATGGTGAATGAGAGTCAGACGTTTGCAGTTATCCCAGTGAGTCAAATCCTCTCATGATCTGCACATTACTATCCCCATTTCACATGACACCTTATGATTGTTTCCTTGTACATTTTCCTCCAACGGTTTGAGTTAAAGCCAGGGTCTCAAGTAGTACGAGTGTTTTGCAGTTGGTGGTAGGAGGTCGACTGGGATTGGTCCGCGAGGTCCAAGTTTAGCGGAGGGGTGAAGCGAGGGTTGCGAAGTGGAGGGAAATAGTTGAGTTGTTTCCGAACCATTTACGGTAGCGACGGAAGTTGGTTTGGGCCGAAGCTGAAATGCCAGCAACTTTCCGAAAGCCCCGAAAGTCCCAAGTAAAAAGTAGAATGCTTTGCAATGCTTGTGGGGGCAAAAACAGGGGTGTGTCGCACGGTACTTCCCAGGCCAACCAGTCAGTTCGCCTGCTACAAACAGAGTAACGGAGCTTCGAGTGCTTTGCAGTTGACGCCAGAATCTCTTACTTGAGACCCTGGCTTTAAAAAGACATGGTATGTTTATTTGCTGTGCAACCAACCATGTTTTTAGTTGATTTTCTTCATAACATATCCCACTATGTCGAATAATTTAGTTTATTCGTCCTGATATTGTGAAACGTTGGATTCGGCAAATTTTATGCACCACGCTTTTCGTCCCGCGAAAGTTCTGGCGGCAAACTGCGTCCTCGGTGTCCCACAACTCCACTGGCACACCGCCAAAGCGAGCAGGCGTAACTCAAAACCGAGACGCGTTGGCGAAGTGGCGGGACTGTAACACCGCACCGCTGTGCAGACCTGGGGCAGTGGGTTAAATTTTCGCAAGGAAAACAGGTGTTTTCTTTCCCCGTCTCCGCGCAAACGAGAAACCAGGCTTTCGCTTGGCCCGAGCCAGAAACCTGGACGGGTTTCTTGTGAACCTGACAGCAAACCAACATTTTATGGCGGGGCAATGGCAACGAAAGCCAGCGAAACGCTGCAACCAGCGTCGCCGCGTCGCAGTTCCCGCTGGCCTGAACAGTTGTGCCAAACGATCAATTGAGCTCCCTAGCCCCTCCCTCCACAATCCATAAAGCATTCCACCAAGCAAAATTTGATCATAGCACTCTTTGATCAGCGACCTCTCACAAGCAGCGATCATTCACCTCTGGTCCCTTCTAATTCTCGTCCGTTCAAGTTCGCACATTAACGCCATGTCGAGGGCTCTGCTTCTGGCCTTGGCGGCCATTGGTGAGTCTCTCATGCCTAACTCTCCAAGCGCTAGAAAGGCCGTTGTCTTTATTTCTTCGCGTAGTCTGTTGTGAGCTCAATGCTAGATCTAACCCGACGTTTCTGTGCTTCAGGATGCTGGGCAATCTGTGCGTCTGCTCAATGCGCCAGTCCACTGCAGTCATGCGACTTCTACTTCTACGGCTATGACAAGGCCGTTCCCGTCTTAAAGCTTAAGTCTGTGCGAGATGAGAAGGTGGTCACCACCGGCCTTCGCTGGAAGTACGTTTTTCTCCCTCCTTCCGAATTCCATCAGGCATAAGCATTTTCACTTCCTCTTCGCAATAAAAGATGAAACTAAACCCCATCCAACGCTTTCTTTTCTGCTTTCAGGGGACCGTCCCTTTTCGTCGAGACAGCTACTACACTCGGAAACTCGACATGCAAAGTTGTAGGCCAGGTAAGTTGATAAACTTTCAGTCAGTTTCAACGTTAGTTCCGACCAAGAAGATGCTAACGCGCCCTTCAAATTCCACCTTATAACGTGCGCAGAAGAAGGTCTTTTGCGACAACTACTTCTTCTTCCGTCCCCGTGGCGGTAAGAAGTCATACGAGAAGTACATCAACCGCTCGGATCGTCTGGGCATCCGTCCCGTTCCTAAGTGGAAGCTGAGGCAGTTCAGCAACCAATGCATCCAGTTGGGTGTCGATTCTGCCAAGATTAAGCTCCTGAAGGCCAAGACCCAGAACGCGTCCGTGTGGATCAACCCCAACGACAACAACGCTGAGTTCCCGCAGGTTCGTAGTACACATCTTCTGTTAGATTTGAAGATCTGGTTGTTCCCGCAGGTTTTGAGGATCTAACGCTGTCCTCTTCCTTCCCCTACAGAAACGGCGTTGCGTGGCTTTCAAGATTGTCACCGCCTAAGCTGCATTTCCATTTACTGGCGGAAGTGTGCTGTTGGGTAGCCAGTGCACACATTCTTTCGGACTAACTAGGCTGGGTGAACACGAACGCTGTGCCCATACGAGTTGTCTGCATCCTAGATTAGAAATAGGTCATTGATAGCTCACGTGGCGTCATGGTAGTGACGGTATGGAACATTGTGTAACCCCATTAGTATCTCTGAAGTTTTCAACGCAAGTCTAAGAGGCGTTTCTATTCATCAGAACTGTGCTGTCAATATGCACACATAACTAGGCCGGGTGAACTAGAACACTGTGCACATACGCGTACAAATAGCTCACATAGTCACGACATGGCACGATTAGTAGATCGAATTTTCACCATGATTTTCGAGCCTACTTATCACCTTCATATCAGCCTTTTAGAAAAGAAAATGGCAAGTCTTGAACTCGATTGAAAAGGTCAACACAGCTGTGTGGACGAATGCCAAAAAACGAGTGGCAGATCTGTTCTACATTAGCGACATATGTAAACAACCAGATGGTAATAAACAACTAATTCTCATTGTCTTCTTCCTCCTTGGTTACATCTGGTTCTGTAGCAGAAACGCTGGCACCCTGCACAGCAGCCATGCCAGGTGCAGCAGGTCCTTGCCGCAGAATCCAGTGCTCCCCATCAGGCTCCACCCACATTCCTCTGAGTGTAGCGAAGAGAGTGATTGCTCTCCGTACTCCGGAGTTGTCTGCTTTGCTGAAGTAGTCGTGTCCAAACATAACTCCTCCTGGCCTCAGTAACCGGTACGCGAGATTGATATCCAACCAGGCAGAGTGAAAATCATGGCCTGCGTCTACCTCCACCAGGTCTGCCTGGACGCCCCAGTCACACAGGGCTTTGAGCGAGTGAGCAGTGGAAAACGGCAGTGGGAGGATCACCTTCTCCTGACCGGCTTCGACAACATTCTTCATGAAATACTGCAGCAACACAGCGTCTCCGTTGACGTGTTTTATTTGACGGAAGGAGTTGCGGAACCCAGGCCAACCACGGAAGTCATCGAGGCATAGAATTGTGACGGGATCCAGACCCAGCTCCTGAGCCTTAAGAGCCATGTTTATAGCAGAGGCGCCTAAGAATGAGCCAACTTCGATGATCAAGTGAGGTCGGACCTCCCGAATGAGCCTTTCAAAGACAGAATTGTTGGATCCCCAACCGCGGAGGCGCATGCGCTTTTTCAGCAGCGGACGGACGGCTTCAGATGGGAAATCCTCGAATGGGCTAACTCCGTCAAAGATCTCATCCAGCACAAGGGTCCGAACTGCCTCAGGACCGCGTCCTCCAATCCGGTCGGTACTGCTGTTGGCACATGACCCTGGAAACTTGATGAGGTCAGTCGGTAAGATGCCGAGATTCTTGAAAGCAGCTTCAATGCCTTGGTATGTTCCAACCCGACGACGAACGTTTTTATGGACGTAGGTTAACGAAGACGACGTAGAAGAGGCTGCAGACGAGGAAAGATCGAGATTCAGCTCGTTGGAACTGGAGGATTCGCGATCAACGAATATGAAACGGCCAGCCAGAAGCATGACGAAGAGAAGACAGAGGCCAACCAGCACAGGTACGGCTGCGCGGTTGACTGGAGGATTGTGCTTGTGCAT